GCTGCCGACAGCAGCCGTGGAGACTTCGTTCGGCGTGCCAGAATTCCAGAGCGTTCTGCAACGCATCATCGCTGAGGCAGCGCAATCGGGCGACGACGACTGGGAGCTCGCCTTCGGCCCGCGTGTGCCCTGGTACTGGCACCTCCTGAAGAGATTCAGCTAATCCAACTGGCCCATTGTATAACATGCTCGACACATGCTGAACGAAATCCTTATACGGTCGGTGCAAGAACAAATGACACCTGATACGAGGTCAGGAACGGTCGCTTTTCCCCATTACGCGTCAATATTTCGCGTCCAGGGGTGGATAGCGCCGCTAAGACAAAGGCAACAAACACTGTGCTCGGCGCCATTCTTAGCTGGGCGTCCAGAGCCCGCAGGACGTACGGATAAGTTGGGTCGTTGGCGATGACGCATCGGATTCAATTGAATTCTAGCGCTGTCTGTCTCTCTCTCTCTCTCTCGCTCTTCCATCTCTCCCTCTCTCTCTCTCTTTTTACATTGGCGTGGCCGTACCTTGAGCAACATATACAAGTGCTGAGATATGTATCGGAGTCCATAGCGACGAGAGGTCACAATATTCGACATTTGCGGCTGCGCTGTTGGTACCCCTTTTGGTCCCGCACCGCGTGCTTCTGATCCCACCAATCTCTTCATCGGCAAGTCTCGAACCGCGTAGATTTTATGTAACCACGGGAAGGGACGAACAAGCAAGGGTCACCGAGTAATGCGAATATGCGGAACAGGGGAGGGAGAAAGATCCCGCAGGGGAAAAAGCAAGACGAGGGAGAGGGGGCAGAGAAGGATGCGCAGCGGGGAAAGGGGGGGGGGGAGAATAGGAGGAGGGCAAGTGACGAAAAGGAAAAGCGGGATGAGGGATTTGAGGGACCAGCCCGCAGCTCTACTGGACCTTGACAGCACAGGCTCTGCGAGTTGCGAAGGATCTTCGAAGAAGACTACGTGGATGTGTGTGCGTGTGGTGTGATTGACTAGCCCACACACTGATCTGGAAAACGCGGTGTTCGTTTGTTTTTGAAACTTCATTTTCGAGGTCGGCGTTTCTTTTCAATCGTGGGCGCAACTTTTGCTACGTCTTCATGTCCGGGATCGGCCGTTGGCCAACCTGATCTTCTCACTTCCGTGTTCCATTCGTTTTCGCCGCGCTCTTAGGAAATCACAACGTGTCGATTTTAGAAGCTTATGGTCACATCAAGCACGAAAAGAGAAGCACGGGGGAAAACAGAAAACGCCCTCAACTTTTCTGATGACAACCAGGGCCACGCATCCGCAAGGGTGGCCGCGACGGGGGGCGGGGGGGGGGGGAGCGCGCGCCAGGGGGCAACACATAACGCACACGCCAGGGCTGGCAGTGTCACTGAGGGTCCGGGAGGGAGGCGTCGAGCTGCAGGGGGGGGGCCTCCCCGATCCAGCTGCTGGCCAGCCAGCACCCGAAGCCGCCCCCCAGAGGGGGACCGGCCCGCGGCCCGCTGGGAAGCGTCACCCCGCGCCGCGCGGGGGTCCCGAGGCCCGCCCTGCCGCGGGGAGGGGGGGAAAGGGGGGGGGGGGGGGAAAGGGGGGGGGGGGAAGGGGGGGGGGGGGGGGGGGGGGGGAGGGGAAGGGAGGGAAGGGAGGGGGGGGGGGGGGGGGAAGGGAGGGGAAAAGGCGCGCGAGGCGCGCCCCTCGCAGCGCCGCGAGGGGCGCCGCGGAGGCCCACGCAGGGGCGACCATGGACGTAGGTCGGGCATGTCCTCCTACAGGCGGATTCTGGAGGACAGATATAACAGATATCAGAAAAGTGCGAACAAAAACAGTTCACACGAGTCCAAACATCGTCCCCTGACTGTGTGTTGCCTCTTCGTGAACCCTCCTCCCGCAGAGGGACGTGCCCGACTTAGCCCTGGGCAGGGCTGGCCTCTGGCGAGCGGCTGGGCGATGGTTGCACGCGGTGCGACAACAGGCGGCCTGGGCGCGTGGGCGTGTGCCACGGTCGGGCACTTTTAGACAGCGCGTCGCGCCGCCGGCTCTGGCCCCGTGCGCTCAGAGCGACACGCTATATCCTCATCTTGCTCCCATCGCACTGAAGGACCGCATCTCGAACACGAGTTCGAGCACCGAGAACGGTATCGAAACGGTGCCGAACGAGTATCGCCTCCCAGAACCTGACACGTGAATGCCATCAAGTTTCGGTACTTTCTTGGTCCTGATGCTCGAAATTCTTTCCGGCGATCAAGGCTGAAGTAGGTCGGGACCCGGGACATCATAACGCTATCCACTTCGCGGCACGGGGGCGTCAAAGTCCGGAGCCGGCGCGACACGCTATCCGCTCGAAGGGGATAGCGTTTCTCCGAGGCCGGCGCGGCGACACGCTATGCGAAAGATAGCCCCCTCCAGGGCACCACAGGTCACGCGGGCCGGCCAAGTCTGGCAGCCAGGAAATCGGGGCACGATCCGGACGTGCATCGCAACAAGAGGGCTGCAGAGGCACAGAGCCGAGACCGAATCGGTCCGTCCGCACCAAGATCCACGCCAGAGTCATGCAAGCATCGTGCCGCATCGGATCGTCGGAACGTCGGAATCGAGTCGGACTGGGCCGGCCGGAATCGAGACCCAAACATGCGACGTCCTGATTTTGTCCATACGGGGCCCCTGGAAATCCCGACCCTCTCCCCGGGACCGGCTTTTCCTCCCGAGTCGTTTTTGTTGGATGGTCCCGAGGCCCAGCGGCCAACACCTCCCGTCCTGATCTTTTGTTACGACGCGATCCTGTCTTAGGGGAGCGAAGAATGACATAAACACAAAAACTCTGAGGTCCGCGCGGATTTCTTGGATCGGCGCTGGGTCCCCCTCCCTGGCGCGCGGAGCGCGCCAGGGGCGGCGCCGGAGGCGCCGCCAGGAGGGCCCAGCGCGGAGTCGAGAGATCCGCGCGGACCTCAGAGTTTTTATGTTTATGTCAGTCTTCGTCCTCCTATGTCTGGGGATCGAAGGGGGCCCTGCCCAGGGCGGCCTGGAACTCGGCGTTCTCCTTCTCGCGGGTCTCGCCTCGGCGCGCCACGGACCATCGCGCGCGCCCTTCTCGAGAGAGGTCTGGCCGCCGCCTGCCGCTCTGCCCCTCCGGGCTCCCCCAGCTGCCGCCCGGGCCCCGCCTCCTGCAGCCTGGGGCTGAGATTGAGCAGGGACCGACCGTGCCTTCCACGACATGGTCTTAGAACCCCACGACATGGTCTTAGAACCCCAGGCTGTTGTGAGAACAAGTACTCTGTTCTCAGACAACAAACCCGATGTGGTTCAAATCAAGACAGACTCAGCCAGACATGTTCTAAGAACATTGCGCGCAGACCACAACAGAACAGGTTCTTATAATATTCTCGGGTGAGCTTATAGGAAGCCAGGTCCCTTCGCCACTGCTTGATAAGAGGACCTCAGGAATGCGTTACGCAGGTTGCCTGTGAACTTGATGTTCTCGGTTTGGGAGCCAACTGCTCTGCTCCCATGGCGGTCAGCTTGGATTTTCCGAGTCGCACCAACACAGACCTCGTGTGGCTCTTCCTCGGCTTTGGAGGGGGTGAGACATGGAAGAGGCGAAGTGGGACGACAGTGAAGGGGGGGAGACAGTAAAGAGACATCAGAGGGGGGGGAGACGTTGAAAGGGCCTCTCAACTTGCTCTTGTGTGGATGCTCGTCTTGCTTCGAGGCCGAGGCTGGCCAAACCCAACCTTGGCCAAAGATTAGTGTGTGCGCCCTCCTGGCTTTGCCCAGAAGGCGTGCGCGCACTGCTCCTGGACCGAGGAACGCCCGGCCGGGCTCGAAGTGGGGGATTTTCCTGGGCGCCCGCGCTGCCCGCTTTCACCTCCCCTTCCCTCCATTATAAGCATAGCCCCCCCCATACACCTCATCTCCCCTCTCACTGCTACCTCCACATCCCCAAAGTGCCCCTACGGCTTCTCTTCCTCCCCCTTCGCCTCCTCCTTTCGCAACCTCCTCCTCCGCCTCCTCTCCTCCTCCTCCGCCTCCTCTCCTCCCCTCTCCTCCTCCTCCTCCCCTCCTCCTCCGCCTCCTCCTCCCTCCTCCCCCCGGTCCCCCCCTCCTCCTCTTCCTCCTCCTCCTCCTCCTCTTCTCCCCCTCCTCCCCCTCCTCTTTCGCAACCTCCTTTCGCCTCCTCGTCCTCCTCCCTCCTCTCCTCCTCCTCCCGCCTCCTTCGCCTCCTCCTCCTCCCCCCCCTCTCCTCTTCCTCCTCCTCTCCTCCTCCTCCCTCCTCCTCCATCCCCTCCTCCGCCTCCTCCTTTCGACCTCCTTTCGCCTCCTCGTCGTCTCCTCCTCCTCCTCCTCCTCTCCTCCTCCGTCTCCTCCTCCCCGCCTCCTCCTCCCCCCCCCCTCTCCTCTCCTCCTCCTCCTCCTCCTCCTCCCCCTCCTCCTCCTCCTCCGCCTCCTCCTTCTCCCCCTCCTCCCCCTTCGCCCCCGCCAGGGCCTTGCATCGCCCGCCACGCTGGCGCCGGCCTTCCAGCTGGGAAAAGAGCGCGCCCTCCGCCAGCCCCCGAGCAGCAAGCACACTTTTTCGTCGGCGGCTAGGCAGAGTCAGTGCGCTGGCGAAGAAGCGAAACGGGGCTGCCGTTGAGCGATCTGTGAGAAGCAAGCACACACATCGCAGTCAACGCGCCCAAGCGTCACTGCGTGCCCAGCGCGCCCGTCGATGCGGAGCCGCGCGCACAAGCAGGGAAGGGCAACCAGATCAGACCACCTGCAGGCGACACCATCCCTCAGCGGCGCTCGGGAGAAGCGGCGCGCCCCAGACCCTGCCCACGACCGCGCCCTCGAGCTGCCGCTGGAAGGAGCCAGAGCTGGGACGGGAGCAGGAGCAGGACGAGCTCTGCTCCGGGCACGACCGGCGACGGCCTGAAGCTTGCACCGCGGCGGCACGATCGGCGCCGTCCGACGGCCTGCGGCCGCACCGAGGCCCTGACCGGCGCGCTTCATCTGCACCTCCATCTCCGTGATCTCCGCCTTCAGAGTGTCGATGTCCTCCGCAACAGATCATCGGAGGAGGGTCAGTCGAGACAACGGCGGTCCACCGTGGCGCTGTCCGTCCTTCTGTGGGCCTCCCCGAGGCTTCTCATCGCAACGGTTGGATCCGCGTCGGAAAACGGGTCCGGGTGGACCCCAGGAGGGTGTCTCAAGCGGCTATCCCCCGAGACCATACTTCTCAGAACCCCCTCGCTGCGGCACTGGCATCAGCAGCGTGGCTGGGCACAACCCCCTCGGCGCTGGCAACGCAGCTACAGAAGAGGGGCAAGCAGGAGAGGGAGGAGGGCGAGGAGGTGTGAGAGGACAACGCCCATCTTCCAGCCATGCCTGCATATCGACAAATGCTATAGTGCTGCGTAGAAGCAACCTACGAGAATAGTGAAGCATGCAACGTAAGGATCGTCCGTCGAGCAAGCGTCTCTCGATCAGAGGTTACGGAAGTGGTAATTCGCGCCGCAGTGGTCACACGTCCCATGGTGACACGACAGCATGGTGCAAGAGGACGGGGAGATGGAAGAGAAGGAGCGGGAGAAGACGAAACAGGAAGACAAGAGGGAGGAGGAGGAGGACAAGGATCAGATGACGAGAAGGAAGAAGCAGATGACGAGTATGCTGAAGACAGGGTAAGAACCGAGTAGGAGGACAATGACGAGGAGTGCGAGGAAGATAACACCGAAGCGGCACAGGGAGGACACGAGACGGGAGGATGTTCCTCCACGATGTACCTAACACAGATGAGCATATGAAAATGTTTCTACCTGAGGGTCCACCCTGTCATTCCCTCCCTCTATAAAGTCGTCCCCCAGACTTGTCTTCGAGCGAATTCTGCCCACGGTCTCAACGCGAAAACACAACCTGCAAACTCCCCCCCCCACCCCTCGCCCCCTGGAGGCCAGGAAACGCAGAGCAGCCTTTTCATCCCCCCTGCTCCTCCTCCTGATCTTCCAGCTCCCCAAACAGTAAGTGCTTGCACTGAGGGGTTCTTACTTCGCCGCTGGGGGAATGAGGCCAAAGTGCAGCGCCTACCGTAAGGCGACGGGGCCCCAGTGCGACACCGTCAGTGGCGCTGCGCCCGCGATCAGAGAGGATACGTCAGAGGGGCCCGTGAGGCCGCGGGGCCCCATTACAATGTTCTGGTCAAGCATTGTGTTGTTCAAGACTCGGGCGGAACCGCCCTTTCGAATCCGAACCCGATGGTTTCAGAATCCGGTCGGGATCGTTTTTTGAAGTCTTGCGCGGGGGCGCCATTTCGAAATCGAGCCCGGAAGTTTCGAAATCGTGCGAAACTTTGTTTTGGAAGGCAGTCTCCAGCGAAAACCACACACAGTCGAAACCTCGGGTAAGATATTTCATACACTAAATGCCAAACGGTGTAGCCATTCCGAAACGGCGGTTTCGCTTGAGACTTCCTCAAAACAACAATTCCGAACGATTTTGAAACTTCCGGGTTCGATTTCGAAATGGCGCTCCCGCCCAAGACTTCCTCCAAACTAGGATTCGGAACCTTTCTGGTTCGACTCCGAAATGGCGCTCCCGCCCAGGACTTCACCGGAAACAACATGCGGAGCCTTCCGAACTCGATTTGGAAGCTGCGCTCCCGCCCAGGACTCCCTGAAGACTGGGATTCGACACCCTTTTGGTTTGATTTCTGAACGGCGCCCCCGCCCAGGAATTCCTCGAAATCAGAGGTCGCCACTTCTCCAGCTCGAATTCGCAATGGCGCTCCCGCCTAAGATGTGTCTTGGCGGAAGCATGAAGCGGGTCAAACATTTCGCAACGCCGATGTACTTGCCGTAACCATCTGGGGGCCAGTGCCGGCTTTTCGTCGCCGTGCCGCCCGTCGCCGCCGTCGCCGCCGCCCGTCGCCGTCGACGCCGCTCGGGGCGACTTGTGGCTTTTGCAAGCGGTGCCGCCCATCGCCGCCGTCGCCGTCGCCGTCGCCGCCGCTCGGGACGAGTGGCGGCTTTTGCGAGCGGTGCCACCCGTCGCCGCCGTCGCCGTCGCATAGATTCTCCTTTCTTAAAAAGAATGAGATTCCCCCCCCGCCCGCCAGGATTATCCGTACCTCTTTTTCGTATTTCGATTTGCACATGATCCTTCCCAATCGTCCATCCTAAATATGAGCGCGTACCAACCCAGCCAGGCCGTTACCGACCCCCGGGTCACCATCAGGAAAAATACAATGCACGCGCACGCGTTTATCAAAACACATTCGTTTTCAATGCGCCCTTGCGAAAGTGAGACGCAAAGCGCACGCGAGCATGCCTAAATCGCTCAAACAGCTTAGGTGTTTGCAGGAGTTTCAAAATCGAGTGCCCAAATCCGAGAGCCCAAAATGGGCGGCGGTATCTGCGGGAGTTCTTTGATCTCATAACCGAGCCGCGCAAGGGGCTGCGGAGCGCAACAAATCAGATCCTTCTGAAACATTATCAGGCTAGGAGGCGATATGACACGCACTCCGCCTCGGCAGATGTTACAAACCGACAACTGACGGAAACACGAAATCGCGCTCCAGCCCACACGGTATTATATCTCGACTCTCAACCTGCTGCGAACTATGGTCGGCGTCCCGACGTCTGGTCCTAACAGGTCGGTTTCAGTAAATAGAAACTCTGTTCTCTGCACGGCTTCGAGCTGCACGTTTCTCGGCTACGCTCTGCACGTGGAAATACACGAAGCATAGCAATCACTGCGAAACGCACAGCTGCTGCAACCTCACTGTGCCCATGCCTTGGCAAGCCCCTCGCGATCTCCAGGGTCATGGGCAGTCTCTTCAGAAGCTCGTGATGACGAGCGGATTCCAGAGCCTTCTTCATCAGAGCCGCTACGTTCTCTGCTGTCGGCACCTTCGCGGTGCGCACTTCGTTCTCGGCCACTCTCTCCTGAAACCACAAGTACTTCACGTCCAGGTGTCTGATTCGTCCGACACCCAGCCTCGAACATATCCCGACGGCAGCGGCGCGGTCACCGCACACCTTCACTGTCAGATTGATGCCCATCTCCTCGAACAGGCCCTTCGTGAAGATCCCCCGCGCAGCGCCGTTGGTCATCTCCGAGTGCCCAGCTTCTCCACTGCTCAGCGCACGTGTCGCTTGCTGACCAGCCCAGCTGTCGATGCACGCCTTTTCCGATGTATTCGGAACCTCCACCACGGCTACTGCGCGTCTATTCATCTCCAGCCCAGTCCGAGTCCGTCACGATGGTCACCTCGCTCGGTAACTCCTGATACTCAAAGATCCACATCATCTGCGGGCGCGTCGCTAAGCGGGCAGCCAACCGCTTCAGCTCCAGCTCATGGAGCACCAGTGGCTCCTGCATCCCGCGCATGATCCAGCTCGTCGCGAACTGGATGGCAGGTCTGTCAGCTGCCAAGTACAGTGCCGTCGGCGCCGCCGACTGGAACATCTTCTTTTCCGCGTATCCCACCTTGTCCAACGCCGTCGGCACCTCCTTCCCGATGCTCTTGGAAGCCGGCGAGATTTCCCTTGCCGCTGGCAGCTTCTCGTAGGCCTCGACCACTGTCCTCGCGTGCTGCGCTTCGCTCTCCCAGTGGAAACTCTTCTCTGTCCAGCTAACCGCCCCCTTCAGGAGATGGCCAGACGTCGCTTCACCTCCAGCTCCTGCGGGCCCCACGAACGGCGACCGCTTCACCTCGAACTTCGCCTCCAGGATCTCGTTAAGCCACGTCAGGTCCTCAAGCGTCCCCACGGCCATGAAGTCGTCTCCGTGCACCACCAACATGCGGATGAAGCCCTGATCGATCTACGCCCCAATGACCTTGTGCTGGAACAGCTTGCTCGCTCTCCTGGTCCCGCACAGCGCTTTCCGCAACTGCCAAACTACATTCGGCTCCTGCTCATCTGAGGGCGGCAACGCGTACACGTCCACGCCCATCTCAGCGTGGAACGCGTTGCTGATGTCCCAGAGCCCTATCAGGTAGACTTCCACGTGGTTCCTGAACGTCGCTGCCAGCACCAGTGCCAGCCGGACGAACTTCAACGGGGGCGCCCCAGCGAATGTGTCATCGCGCGCCTGGTAGGCAACCTGCATGGCCACGAACCTGCACCGCGCAGTGTCGGTGCCCACCTTCCAGTCCTGCAACCACTTGCCCCTGACGCGCTTGCCCTTCGCCTCAGTGGCGTGAACCCGCTTGAACACTCCATGCCCCTCCATCGTGGCACGCTCTCGAGCTCTTCCTTATCGAACCTTCTCTGCTGGAAGCAGCTGTCCAGAGAGCGCCACCTTGACGTTGGAAAAGGTCCTTCTCCTCGCACGGTGCCCCGGCGTCCTCGCACAGGCCCACCGCGCGCAGTTTCATTGGCATGACAGTGACGGCCAGCCCGCCGACTACGCGCGCCTTCTTGCTATCTGGTTTCTCCACCTTCTCTGAGTCCTGTCGCTCCACTCCCTCGGTGGTCCCCGCGGGATCCCCCACCGTCATCTCAACGCTTGCCTCCTCATGATCCATCGCCGCGTCTTCCGCTGCGCTGGGAGCTGCTGCTGCAGCTGCTGCCGCGGCTGCTGCTGCTCTGCGCCCTGGCTCCTCTGCTGGTGCACGCTTCGACTGCTTCCTGACTGCTTCTCGAGCTGGTGGTGGCGCCTCAGTTCGCGCTCCAGCCTGTGCTGCCAGGCCCTTCGCAAAGTCCTCCGCGCCCAGCAAAGCCTCCAGTCTGGCTCTGCACCCCGCAGTGTGGTACTGGCCCGTCTCGTCACAAGCTGGGCAGTCGGGTGTCCGACCCAACCGGTCGAGAATCCCCTTGGTCAGGTACCTCGGCCTGTCCACGGCCTCCTGCGCAAGCAGCGTAGCCTTCGGGTCGAAGGGTGTGCGGATGATCTGGTTGAAGAGGTTCTTATTCCACCCCTTCTCGTCGGGCCTCCTGGCGACCGATCTCGCAAAGACCCGTCCCCGTGGTGCGCAGATCATGTGCTCATCGCTGACATTCGCCTTGCCGGGCCAGATGCCCTTGTCCCATCTGGCCCCCATCTTTCCAGCGGTTCCTGGGGGTAACTTGTGCGCCACGGCCACCGCGAACTCTGCGATCTGATCGTGGTCATCTCGTCCTTTGAGCCGACGATCTGGCGTCAGCCCATCTTCACCCACGCTAAACCTCGTGAGGATCCAGCCCGCGCGCCTCGCCCACCAACTGCTGATCGGCTCGCTTGGCTTCAGCTCCACTTTGTAGTGTGACGGTGTACACGAGCGTGCGAATGAGCTGCTGGACTCTGCCTCCAGCCGCCTCGATCGGACCCTTGGATTCGACGGGCCTCGGGCCGACCTGCAACACCGTCTCCATGTCTCGCGCGGCTGCTGCCGCTCTCGCAAGCGCCGTGATCGCGATCTCCTGGTCGCTCGACACCACCGCGCGCTCGCGGCCCCAGCGCTGCAACGCCTGCACCAGGACCTTGATGCCGTAATCCACCGCGCCCTTCTCCATGACGTTCGCACTCTCGATAGCCGACGACTCGAAGTCCAGGCAGACCAGCAGCGTCATCGCGTCATCGGTGCCCGTCATTCCCGGGAACGAGTAGTCGACCCAGACCCGGGGCGTGTCTCTCCAGGTCCGTCTTGGGAAGAACTTCTCCGCGTCCTCCTCCGGCTACGCAAGCCTTGCGCCGCGAACGATGCGGCCAGTGGGTAAGTCGATGCAGTTGACGTTCGGCAAGCGGTGGCATCACTGGAACGCCCTTTGCTCTCGCAGCCCTGGTTTCGGGGCTGTCGCACAGCTCGACGGCGCCCCTCTGCTTGCGAAAGATCTCCAGGTGGTCGGCGGGTTGAGCGTCTCCAGGTGCTGCTGCTGCTGCTGCTGCTGCGGCGGGTGCCGCTCCTGCAGCCGATGAGCTCGCTGCTCCTCCTGGGCTACCTCCCGCTGCCAAGACTGGGATGGGTTGAGCCGCCGCTGGCTGTCGTAGTGGGGCGATCGTGACTGCTAGCTCGCTGGCTGTGACCACGCGCTTCACCTCCATGTGCCAGATGCGGCCCTGCTGCACCAATGGGGAGATCCGTCCGCTCGGCGCCCCCAGCACGCTGGAGCGCACCCCTGTACTTGGGAAGGAAGCCTGCCTCCAGCAAGTCCCGCTGCGCCACGATCGGGCACTTAACGTTCGTGATCTGGAACCTCATCTAGGAGATCTCCTGCCGCTGGCCGAGCGCCGTCGCCATGAAGTTGACCTCGCACGCGCCATTACGGGTGATCGACTGCCCTGTCGCGGCCTCAAGCGGTGGCAAGTTCTTCGGCTCAATCCAGTTGCTACTGCCCTGCGGTTCTGCCTCTGCGAACTCCATCGGACAAGTAGTGACGCCTGCGCCGCTGTCGATCATCAGGTAGTCCGCGTCGCCGCCTTCAGAGCTGCTCGCACCTGCGGCCGCCAACATGCTCGCGTAGATGGGCCCCTCGTCGTCTGTGTCGGGCCACGGGTACGCGCGCTCCTCTTGAAAGATGGTCGGCGTGCCCCTCACCTGTTGAAGTGCCATCGCCGATCCTGAAACCGCCGATGATGGGCCGACTGTCGGTTGCGCCAGTCTCCCCGCCATGTCCAGGTGGTGTTGCGCGATCATGTCAATGGGAATCGTGTTCACGAGTGATGCCGAGTCGTCCGGGCCGGCGATGGATGTCGCGCATCCAGATTGAAATGGCTGCTGCTGAGGAACGGCTGCGTTGGTATTGCTGTTCTGGCCCGCCTGCCTCTGACCATGGCGTCTCTTTCTCCTGCGCGTCTCCGTCACGTGTCCTGCCGTCTTGCGCCAGTCGCACCGCTTGTCGTTCTTCGCAGCCTTGGACCTTTACCGTTGGCTTTGCCGTTGCCGTCTTTGACTTTGCCGCTGGAACTTTCGCCCTTGCATTTGGAGTCTTTACCCCCTTTGTCGTACCAGCTGCGAACTGCACCCGCATCGGCACCACCTGATCAGTGTATCGATGCCAAACGCGATGATTCACGATGTAGTTCATGATCTCCTTTCTGATGTCCTTATACCCCATGAGCCTGTTCGGGTTCACCGCCAGGTGGGACTTCAGAACTCCATCTTCCTGCCCTTGGACCAGCGCGTTCGCCTTGATAGTTTATGGCAAGATATCCTCGGCCTGCTCCTCATACTCGTTGACCTCGCGCTCCCGCGTCTCGATGGCTTCTCTGTCTCCGACTCCAGCCTTGAACGTCGCGTTCAGCAACTGATTGAGCAGTGCACCTTGTCTTCCTCTGTTCCTGGGCTCGCACTCCATGATCAGCTGTCTCGAAGCCTCCAAACCGTTGGAGCTCTTCGTGTTCTTGATCAGCTTGAATCCACGAGACTTCACCGTCATGCTTACAGTAGGCAAAGAGAACGGCATCATCGAGCGCTCCTCATCTCCGGCTTTCTCGTCATTGAACGATCTGCCCATGACCACTTCTTCGTCCATGGTCGTACTTCTGTCCATCAGCTCGATGGCGCGCTTGTCCTATGACGCCGCGTAGCTGCCAAACAAGAAACACCTGTCTGACCAGGACTCCTGCTTACCATCGAACCTGTCGGGGTTCTTCGTAATCTTCGTGTCGAGCGGCGTTGTGTCCAGCTCCGTCTCCGCTGCAGCGGCCGCCCCCGTCGCAGCTCCTGCCGCCGCGCCGCCATCAGCGGCGCGAGCGGCTGCCTCTTGAAGTTGATCCGCTCGATCCCGCTGGTGTCGAGCCTCCCTGACCAGCTCTATGGTTGCCTGCTCGAGCGCCTCGAGTCTTCTGACGATCTCCTCTGGCGTCGCCATCTGCGATGTCCTGAATCGAGAACTGGCCCTGCTTCTCGATCGCGCACAGCCACCTGCCGAACTCTGACCAGCATCCTCTGATCCTGCCGAGCGAGATCAGCTGAACCGCGATCCTCTTCCAGTCGCCCTGGTAGTCTCTCTCTCCGCCGCTGCTGATGCTGATCAGCTCGAAGCCCTCGTTCTCGCCAGCCTTTGCCGGCGATGTCGCTACTGCCGTGGATCGCGCAGCGCCGTAGCGCCCCGATACCATCCGAGAGCCCAACATGGGCGGCGGCATCTGTGGGAGGTCTCTGATCTCATAACCGAAACCTTTTTTTTCGAGCCTCGCGAGGTGCTGCGGAGCGCAGCACATCATTTCCTTCTGAAACATTATCAGGCTAGGAGGCGATTTGACACACACACACACCAAACGACTTAAAAAAAACAAACATGGTTTCGGACAAAGAATTTCCCCAAAAGAACTTGCTCTCGCGCTCTTGCGCATTCTGAACCAAACCAAACAGTTGTTTCCAATGATGTTCAGAAACAACTACCAAACGGGAACTCGCGCTCACGCATGTCGAAATCGTTCGGGCGCCCTTGCGCGCGTGCTGTCGCCAGAGTCCATTTTTTTTCAAAAAATGGAACGCGATGCGCGCGCCGGATTTCGTAAGGACTTCGAGACCGAGTGTCCCGAAACCCTTCTCTTTAACAAAAACATGGTTTCACATCATCAGTATTCAAACAAGCCTGCGCTCGCGCTCAAGGTTTTTTTGGTCCAAACATGCAAAACCGCAAATGTGTTTCAATGCAAAAGCGCAACAGGAAAAACACACAACAAACTTCTGCTAAACAGGCCTCTCGCGCCGCATGCGGAAATCATTCGAACGCCCTTGCGCGCGTGCGGGGGGGGGGCAGGATCCGTGTCAAATCGCACCATGCGGGCCACTCTCGCGCGTCGCATGTCGAACTCCTTCCAGAACCTCCACCGCCGATGCGAAGACGCCGTCATCGTCGTCGGCGTGATCAGCGTCGGCGCTGTCAGTGGCCGAGCCGTCGCCGCTGACATCATCGCTACCAACACCGCTACTTGCAGTGCCCGCTGGCATGTGCCCAGCGGTCAGCGCCACCGCGGCCGCGTCGGTCGCGCCGAACTAGCTGGCAACTGCGCGCGCGTGCGTGAGCGGGCTGGCGCGGCCGCAAAGATGCACCAGCCAACGCCAAGTACTCACCGCAATCTCCGGGCCTGCCAGGTCGGCGCGGGTCGGCGCCCGATGGCGCCTGGGGCGTCGGCGCGCGCGCGCCGTGCCCGGGCGGATGTGCCCAGACGCCGCGCTTGCACCGCAGAGCGCCGTCGGCGCCTCTGCAGCCGCTTGGCCAAGGCGGCCACCGAGGGCTCCGCAGCGAAGGGCAGCACGCTCGTGTCGTGCAGTCCACCTGTACAAGAAGGGCGCGCAAGAAGGATGCAAGGGCCTGAGTAGTCAATGCCGACACTTGGCGGGCGGGGCGCGGCCAGGGAGAGCGGCCAAGGTAGGGCCGAATGGGAAGGATGCACAGGTAACCTTGAGAAGGTTGCCCATCCTTACTATGCGGGTTGACTGTAGTGACGGGCCTTTTCCTTCTCGTCCTCCTGTGCCGCCGCGAAGGCAGCAAAAAACGCGGAGTGGTAAGCCCCGTGGCGACAGGCGACATGGTGATCACGTCGAGCAGGTATCGGCAACTGCCGCCGCCGGGCCAACACACCACCAGGTCCATGAGGCGCTCGTGCACCGCACCGTCGTGGTCGACGTAGTACAACTCCGATATTGCCGCCGCCAGCGCCACAAAGGCCCAGTCGTCCGCAAGTGCTTCATGAACACCACCACCTCCGCAGTGTGGCATCTCAGTTAGGCCGCGCCCGCGCGAACAGTGGGGCGCTGCAAACTGAAATCGAGCGGCACGCCGCAAGTCTCATCATCCCCTCTGTTCCCTTCCGTCCCTCCCTCCCTCCCTTCCTTCTCCTCCCTCTCCTCCTTCTCCTCCTCGCGGGTCCTCCGTGAGATGCTTGATCGTGGTCTCCAACTGGGCGATCTTGGCCTCAAGGTCCTCTTTGGACGGGGCGCAATCAGTCACCGGTGGAGGACCTCACCCTCATACCCCTCATCCCTGCTCTCCCGCCTCACTCTCCAACCTCCCCCACCGCCCTTCTCTTCCCGCATCCCCATAACCAGTGTGGCTGAAGGCCCGGAACTCCGCCCGCATTCGGCTCGCGGGGCCCGTGATGGCGTGGGACGTTGCCGCCGCCTCGCTCGCGGAGTGTGCAGCGATTCCTGGCTGGAGAAGAACCTGGAGAGCAGTCGCACCCACGCGCGGTCCGTGGAGCTGCCCATCGCGCAGCCAAAGACTGCGCACAGAGGCTCCGCAGGAACGTCGCCTTGCCCGCGCGGGCCGACGGCCTGCAGGTGGCGGCGGCTCGGCCCTCCGAGTTGCGAGCCGCCCAGCGCCGGGAGCGCCAGTCGTCAAGACTCGCCTTGGAGGCCTGCGCACCATGGCTCCGCTTTTCGTCCCGGGCGCCGGGTGCTGGCTGCCGCTGCCGCGGCTGGAGGGCTCTGCACTGCACGCACGTGCGGCGCCTTCGTGTCCTCGGAACTGGGCGGTGGGCCGCCGCTCTTTAGGGCGGGCGCTGCAGAGCTCGCTGCCCCGGCGGCGGCGGGCAAATCATTTTCATCCACATCACCGAGCCACCATCACCAACAACAACAACAACAGCAGCAACAACAACAACAACAACCTCATCAGCAGCAGCAGCAGCAGCAGCCGCAAAATCATCATCATCGCCTCCCCCACCCCTCTCCTCCTTTCCACCCGCGCAGACCGCTGAGCCCGCCCAGCCCGCCCTGTCCCACTCGGGCCCTCCCGCGCACGCTGGCGCAGCCCCGCCCGCGGACCGCCGCCCCGAGCAACACCCGCCCACCAGGGGTCGCCGTGCTACATAATAGCTGCGTGATGCGCAAACCGTACAAGAAGAAGCACGACTGCCCATGCTGGACATCGATTGCAGACCTCTGCCGTTGTCTTGTTTATGCTGCGATGCGTCCACATCGCAGAGCGGGGGTGGTGGGGCGCCGGGAAGGGGCATCCCACTCCTGAGCAGACCCCGTGCCCCGAGTTGTTTGTACGTTTGATGCTGGGGGCGGTCGGCGCCTTCGCCGAGCAGTGCGAGCCACGTCGTGGCGAGGAGGTGGCGGCCCCGAAAATGGGAGCTCCCACCTGCGGCAGCGCTCCCAGGCCGGCGTCCGCCGTCATCGCCACGCAACGGGTGAGAAAGAAACCCGCCTCGCTCCAAGCTTGGGCTAGCTCGGGATGCCTCCGAGAGGCGACTCTCAAGCAGGCCTCAAACGCAAGCCTGGGAGCGGTAGGGCGGTCCAGGCATCCTGCGTTGAGGGCACACATACAGGCACCCATGCAGGCAGCACGCTTTCAACAGGCTGACATGCTATCAAACTCAACGAGGAAGCCAGAGAGGAACCAATGGTAGCTCATTCACCACGACACCCACGCATAGTTCTTCCCATCCACTTCCGGATGAGAGCCACGAGGTGAGGACAGTTGGTGTAGTGGCGGAGCGAGTCTGTGTCATTGTCGTGCACACCGTGGCATCCGAAAAGACACCCCCGAGGGACAGTGTGGAAAAAACTCGTGCCCATACATATCGAGCCAGTTTTTTACAAAAAACGCAGAAGTGCAATCCAGATGTGCGTAGATGTGGCTGCGCACGTTCGCCCGAATCGTGCCGCGCACACAATCAATATGCTCGGGGCGAATTTCAAGGCAAAGACGGTGAGCGCGCCGAAGGAAGGTATCACGGACTGGCTCAGGCCCCTGGATCGACCTAAAGTGCATATACACATTGTTTTGTAGCTTGGAGGTCCCAGCGCAGAAGCCCGTCGAAAGCCTTTGCAATCAGTAGCGGATTGTCCGCATGTAGCCCAGAAGGCTGTGTTCATGCCAACCACAATGCCAGCGATAGGGGATGTGCTCAAGGTCGTCACGAGCCAGATCGAGGTCCTCCAGCACACCGCATAGCTCACCTGAGTTCAGAACGAATATGATCGCTGCGGAGGGCGCGACAGCGCTAAGGCCAACTATCTCAGCGCTAAAGCCGAATGATTTGAACTCACTGGCAATGTTGTATGTGATAGCATTCCTGAGCCCAAAATTAAACCGCATGGCGCTGTCACGGAAATGGTGGTTAAGAGCGGCATCGGTTGGGTGCAGCTGCTGCCTAAAGAGAAACTTCGAGACGCACATCACGCGGAAGGCAGTAGCTGATTGTGCAATGCCTAACCAATGTTGCCGCGGCGTCTGTTGCACCCTGGAAAGGGATCCTGGAATGACCGCTGGCCAAACCTCAGGGGCCGCATTCGGCCCAATCCGGCAACCAAGGCAAACGGCCCACAAGGCGAACTGCTGATAAAAGAAGGGAGCACCAAACGTCGCCAACACACAGGTAAGACGGCCAACGAGAGTGCCGCAGCATAGTGCAATCTGGCATTTCTTGAAGTTCGGACGAAGGTTCGCGATGGCCTTGGGCTCCATCAAAACCGAAAGGAGCGCGCCTAGGTCAGCGAGTACATTCAGCACACCAAAGCAGAAGTCATCCGCAGAGGCAAGGGATACATTGATATTCCCTGCGCACCTGTGTCTCATCCAGGAAAGTAATGGGTCGACCGCAAGCGCGACGAGGAACACCGAGGCAGGACACCATTGCCCAACACCAGATTCGATGGGAATGGACTGGAAGCGTTGACCTCCGACAGCGATGATAGCGGCAGTGGAGGCATGCAGCATGGCAAAGAACTGGATGAGGCAAAGAGAGATGCCCATGGCGCGCAACACGAACAAAAAACCAGCCATGCGCGAAACTCGGAAACGCGGCAGGGAAGCCGGTGAGCAGCAGGACTGAATGTGTTTCGTCATGCATGAGCCTCCTCATCCCCCATGCCTCCGCATTGACAACATTGTCAATCAGATCCCCCCCGTCGCACACTTCTGTTCAGCACCAACAAGCGACGCCGTGTTCGCAACGATGGGCGAGATGCAAGCCGCGGACATCAGCTTGACATCTGTGTTCCCCAAGCTTAGCTGGCGAGTGGCGCTAGCTTGCCGGACAGGGGCCTAGCCGGGAACTTCGGAAGGGTTCGTGCCCTTGGAAAAAAAAACACCGTCAAACTGCACGGCATGTCTTCGGGGAGCGAGTGGAGGTTGCCATCGAAGAGGGAGAGTTAGCAAGAGTAGAGTACCCGAGATGCACTCGGATGCTTCCAAAAAGCGTAGGGTATACCATCAGGCACCAGGGCACTGTGGGTCCGTCCCAACACCAATTCATACCAGAAAGGGTACTCTAGACGCCACTCATGGTTAAGAGGGCAGTCGAGGGCCTTGATGTGATGGGCGATGTCGTTCCAGCGGGGGGGGGGGCCACGTCGGGGGCAGCAGGGACCATCAAGAAGCCCAAGGAGGCCCCAGGGACCACCAAGAAGTCGATCGGAATCTTTTGTGGAGCCAGTGGAAGACTCATCAGGGGCCTTGAACGCGCCAAGGACCGTCCGTTTGCGAAACTTTTACAAGAGGAGCTTACGACGGCGAAGGCGAGCAGCCATGGAGCGATTAACATGATCTGCAGCACGCGAGGATTGAATCTCCTGTTCTTCCTCAATTGTGCTGGGAAAATCCATGGAGATGGATACTGTTAAAGAAGGCGTCGATGTGAGAGCGGCGGTGGGGATAGCACCTCAGGGCGAGCTGGACCCTGGCGGTTTCGCCAGTCTGTGCGGCACGAAGTGCAGCGAACGCCCAAAAACGTTGCCCTTGCAGGCTGACGGCTGGCGCTGGCTGGCAACGAAGGGCCCAACGCGCCATCTTCCTAACCTCAAAGAAGAAGGTTTTGGCAATCGAGAGTTTGGCCCAGATGCCGCAGTCCCAAGATCTCTCAGTCAACAACTCCTCCAGGGCCTGACCGAACTCGGGCATCCCAGCAACCCAAGGAGGGATGCAGGGGTGACCCAGGTCGGGCCGAAACCGTTCACAAACAGCGCGAAAGGAATATGATCTCTCGGCATGACGGGCTTCAGGGACCCAACAGTTGACGGACGGCAATGACGAATACATCTGGTCGATACGCAAGGTTTTGTCGACCACTTTGCCTCTTATTCCCCTTCGGGTGCCGAGATCTCGAAACAACTCCGTAAGATGAAGGAAGAGGCGTCGGAGGCAACGCGATTGCGCGGCATCTCCAGCAGTACTCCCGTCTCCAACAAATGTTCCCTCCCCCTCCAGCGCGAAGTTCCAATTGCCCACGAGTAAAGCGTGTGCCTCGGATTCTTTACCACCAGGCTGGTGGCGCATAAAATCACCAAGAATGATATTCAGAACGCCAGAGAAGAGGCCGATGGAGTCAGATGCGTTGTACAAGTGGGAATTTTCGACAATCGAAGTGCCCAGGGACCCGCGGAACATACTCTTCAGAACCCTCCCCGTGACCAAAGGTGTATGCTCGAGAATGGAGAGGAGGGAGGCAGGCTGGTCGGAACCGGCGGTGACGGCCCCGCCTTCACGCGTAGAGTCAGCGAATAGCGAAAACCCGAACTCGTGTCCACGAAACTGGTGCTGAACCTCTGCTATATCACCCTCATGCCCGTGGGTTCCTTGTGTTGCGATAGCGTCGTATGTGTTGCATAATTTCAGGTACTGTGCATATCTCGGTGTTCCAGGTGCAAACGGAGAAGAAGCGGCGGGGGGAAAAGGGGGCAAAAGGACGGCGAAAGGGGCACCTGTCCTGTAGCGCATTCAGCTTCAGCGGGAAAAGCAGAAGGCGCAGAAGGACCGCACCTGCCTGCTTTACCGTGCATCCCAGTGCCCTGCCTCCCCGCGGGCTGGGGATGGAGGGTCCACGCAGCCCAGTCGCGCCGGGAGCGTGTGGGGGAGTGCCCTTGGCACCCGGCTGCTGGGCCGCAGGCGGCAGCACCGCCGAGGGCTCCCTCGGCAGCGCCGATGCGGACCCCGTGGTTGAGGGCGCGGGCCCCGTGGAGGGAGACCCCGAACCCGCCCCCTCCGGCGAAGGTCCGGCCGGGCGCACGGCCGGCTCCCGCGGAGCGCCGGTGACGGTGCCGAGGGCGGCGACGCTAATTACGGCCGGCCCCGGTGAACCCCCTCCGGCGGGGGACGGCGCTCCTGCGCGGGCGGGAGGTGCCCGCGACGGCGCCCCGCGCCGACGAGGCGCCCGCGCGCGCCCGCAGCCCGCAGGTTGGCAAGGGGCCGGCGGCGAAGGCCACTGGGCGCCGCTTGCGCCGGCGCAGGGTGCGCTCGAGCAGCAGCCCCAGCGCCCGGGCGCCGCGGCGCCAGCGCCGGCGCTCGCGCCGGGAGCACAGCCCGAGCGAGCGGGCAGCCCGCCGGCGCCGCACCCGCCGGAGCAGCCACATGCGCGGCCGCTCCCCAGCCCCGCAGGGCAAGACGGGCGCACCGGAGCCCGCCGAGGCAGCCGACACGCGCTGCTCCGCGGCGGGCGGCGACGAGCCGCGAGCGAGCCCCCCGGGCCGGCGCTCCCGCAGCGGCGACTCCAGCTACTCCCCCGCGCGGGCGCCCGGCCGAAGCCGAAGCCGCGCGCAGGCACTCGATCCCCGCGGAAAGGGACGCTTCTCGCAGGGCCAGGCGCGGCGGCGGCGGCGACGGCTGCCCCGGCCTGCAGTGGCAGCAGCTTCGCGGCTCCGAGAGTGGCTCCCCGGGGGCGGCGCCGCGGGCGCCCGCGGCGGCCCCGCCCACGGCGGCAGCGCTGGGAGCAGGGGCTCCGACGGCAGCTCGGCCCACGGCGGCAGCGCCAGGAGCAGGGGCCCCGAAGGCGGCTCCGCCTGCGGCGGCAGCGCCGGGAGCTGGGGCTCCGACGGCAGCTCACCTGGCAGCGGCAGCGCCGGGATCAGGGCCAGGCGGCGGCGCGGCCACCGCGGCGGACGACGGCGCGGGCGGCGCGCCGCGGGCAACGGGCCCGAGGGACCCGCAAGCGGCGCCCCCCGCGGAGGCGGTAGCGGCGGCGTTTCGGGCGAGCGGCTGGGGTTTCGCGGCCGAGGGGGTCGCGGAGGGCGTCCTGGCCGAGGCGGTGGCTGCTGGCCTCCTCCGCTGGGAGGGCCGCCGACGCTCCCGCTAGACGCAAGCGAGCACCCCATCGAGCGCGAGTATGACGGGCTCAACTGGGCGCAGCTCGCAGGCCAGCCGGACGCGGCTGGCGCACTGGGCCCCTCTGCCGCGGCCACCCCGCGGGACGAGGCGAGTTCCGCGGGCCGGTGGTCGGGGAGCAGGCGGAGAGGCGCGCGGCTGCGGCCGCCGCCGTCGCTACCCCGCCGCGGGCGCGGGGCCAGACGGACTCCGCAACAGAGGCTCCGACGGCCGCTCCGCCTGCGGCGGCAGCGCCAGGAACGGGGGCTCCGACGGCTGCCCCGCCTGCGGCGGCAGCGCCAGGAGCGGGGGCTCCGACGGCTGCCCCGCCTGCGGCGGCAACGCCGGGAGCGGGGGCCCCGACGGCTGCTCCGCTTGCGACGGCAGCGCCGGCAGCGGGGGCTCCGCCGGCGGCACCGCGGGGGGCGGTAGCGCCGGGAGCAGAGCCGGTGAAGCGGCGGCTCTGGGCTGACCTGGCGGCGGAGGAGGAAGAAGCCGCTAGACTCGACGCCCCGCAGGCGCCGACCCTGCCCGCGGGGGACGCGCGGGCTGCTGGAGGCGCGGCCGCCGGAGCCGCCCCAGGCGCCGCGGCGGCAGCGCGCGCGGCGGCGGCGGACCGCGCCGCGGAGGCCGCTCAGGCGGTGGCCTTGGCCGCGGCCGCGGACGCGGCGGCCGCGGAGGCCGCCGAGGGGCTGCGCAAGCGGTGTGCGCCACCTTCCAGCGCGGCTGGACGCCTGTCCGGGTCGCCGCGCGCCACCTCGGCCTGCTCGCGAGGGCCGGCGCCTGCCCGCGGCCCGCGGCCGGGTGGTGCGGCAGGTAGCGCGCCTGGCTTCGGCGCAGCTCCTCGAGCTCGCCGAGCTGCTGGGCGCCGCAGACTAGCCGCGCTGCGCGCGGCGCTGGGCTGCGCAAAGCCAGCCCGGCTGAGCACTGCTGCTGTTGCTGCTGCCTTCTCCTCTTCTTCTCCTCCCTTCCCCTGCTGCCCTCCTTTTCTTCCTAAGCCACGGGGCGACCCTCTCGCGCTGGTAAAAAATGCTCGCCATGACCGCCGCAGCGACCTCCAGAACTGACCCACGGGTTTGGTTCGGGGTCGGATACCACGCAAGGGCGCAATGAGAGCGCCATGAGACACGAACGGCTAGAAAACTAGGGCCAATCCTGAGCACAATGCGGTCTTGATTTCAGCGTCTGGAGTACAAGCCCATCGGGGTGATGGCGTTCGTGGTAGCAGAGTGGTGATTCACTTTCTGACGATTCTGTCGGCAGCCCCTCATCATCCGACAACCAGCAATCCGTCTGCTCGTAGTCCTCCTCCCCCTTTCCTCGTTATCCCGTCCCCCCCTGTTCAAGCATCGCCCACGTCACGACCTCACCCTCCACCCTCCGCTCCCCGCCCGATCGATCGGCGATCTGGTGGCTGGTCTGGCATCGAAAACTGGAACCATTTGGTAGAAGGACGGACACCGGTATACCCACAAAAAAGCTTGATGCTCCGCCCGCCAAGGGGGGGTCCAGCGCGGATCCCAGCCGGGAGAGTCCAGCGCGCCAATAGTTTATGTTAATGGCGCTTTTTGTTTTCTTCTTCGGGTTGTACCACCGGGCGTGTCGGTAGAGCGGGCTGGGGGTTTCGCCTGGGACCTCCTCTTCATCGACGACCCTGACATTTGAGATTGAAACCGCGTCAAGAATGGAAGGCGGGTGGTTTTCAGGTGTGGGTCTCTCGTCAGCGACGCGCGCATTGTATTTAATTACATAGGGCGCGGGCCCCTTTCGTAATCTAACACTCGCTTCGGCCCCGCACGCATACTCTGAAGAGGCTTCAACCTATTCCAAGATGGAGGGCGGTTCCTTTTCAAACTGCGATTCTCGCCCTAACGCCGCGCGCATCTGTCTGTTCAGCTTACAACATCTCCACGGATTCATAGGGTTGAAGCCCCTGGCACGTTGTTCTGGCATGGCTTAATCTATGTCCAGCACGCAGCACTCGCGCTGACTGGCGATGCTGAAGTCCCAGGACTGGTGCTCTGACACGGCTTAAGAGAATACAATCGCATAGGCCACGTTGATTCGCGCTGTTGTTTTTGGCATGATTGCGGACTCTCACAAGGTTGCCTTTCAATTCGGCACCTCCCGGAATGGAAATGCTTTCTTTTAGGAAAACCTGGGGAGGGAACTTTGAGGGATGGTGTCTTGCAGCATCGTTGGTGCGTCTTTGATTTACTCTCTGGTTCTCTGCCTCCTCTTCCTCCTCCTTCTACTCCCCCTCCTCCTCCCATTATTTGTCCCCCACCCTCCTGCATCGTCCTCCTTCCTCCACGCTCCTGATCATCATCGGTTTCGTGGTCCACCCTCGCTGCTCGTTCGGCCTCCTCGCCCCGTCGTCCTTCCCGAGAGATGAGGACGGGGAGTGGCGGGGCGAAAAAAACGATGACGAGGTGGGGATTCGAAGCCAACTAGTCATGGGTACCAGCGCCCTTCAGTGAAGGAGGGTCGGGCCCTGGAGGCGGGAATACACATTGGATGAATAAGGGGAATGAGAAGACCAAGGGTGGAGGCGGAGCATCGGGGGGACTGGAGGTGTGAAAAGAGCGGGGGGGGAGAAGGGAATACACCTCATCTGAAAAATCGGGCCGTCAAACAGTTCGACGCCACCCTGCCCCGATTTTTCTGAAGACGTATACTCCTTATTGTCTTAATTCCGACTGCTCCCTCATCCTTCTCCTCCTCCTCCTCCTATGCCTGCTCTGTCGCATCCACAACTCAACGCCCAAACGTCAAGAAGCCTCAGCCTCATCACCCCTCCCCCCCCTCCCGACCGCATCCCTCCCGTCGTCGCCACTCCTTTCTTCCGAGCCTCCGCATCCTCCTCTCTGGCTGCAAGCACACCTCCCCGCCGTGGTCGTGCCTCTGGCATGACTCTCTGCGAAGGCTGCACTGCGGGCCGGGTCCTGCTTCTCCATCGTCTTCTTCTCGGTCTGGAGCTCGTTCTCGTTGAGCTCCGCAACGCAGAAGTCCTGAGCGACTCCCGCCCAAGGCCAGCTCTCCCTCTCCCTCCCCCGTCTCCAGTCCTTACCCCTCGCCCTCTCAAGTACATGCTGCTCCTCGTCCTCCTCCTCCTCCTCCTCGTCCTCCTCCTCGTCCTCATCCTCATCCCCGCTCCCTACCACCTAATCTGTCCTCCTCCTGAGCCATCCTGTCTTCCCCATCGTCGCCCCTCCCCACGATGCCCCTCTCTCCTCCTTCGTCCCCGACGTTCCTCTATAACTAACTGCTCCCCCCTCGCTTGCTCTCATCCCCTTCCCCAGCAGTGTCCCCACGGCCGGGAAGGGGGTGAAATCGCAATCCGAGGAAAAACTTGACACCGATCCAGGAGAGTGAAGGGGAGGAGGACGAGGAGGAGGAGGAGAACGAGGGGGAGGCGGAGGAGGAGGAGGCCGAGGAGGAGCAGGTGTGGGAGGAGGGGGAGGAGGGGAAGGAGGAGGAGGAGGAGGAGGAGGAGGAGGAGGAGGAGGAGAAGGAGCAGGCGGGGGCGGAGGCGGAGGAGGAGTGGGGGGAGGGTTAGGAGGGAAGGAGGAGGCCGAGGAGGAGGAGGGAGGAGGATTAGGAGGAGGAGGGGGATGAGCGGGAGGAGGAGAAGGAGATGGAGGAGGAGGAGGAGGAGGACGCGGAGGAGGAGGAGGAAAGGGGGAGGAGGGGAGGAGGAGGAGGAGGAGGGGAGGAGGAGGAGGAGGAGGGAGGAGGAGGAGGAGGAGGAGGAAATCGCAATCCGAACAAAAACCTGACCGCCATCCAATCTGTGACGGGCTGGCAGAGCGACCGAGGACGGACACCCTGCAGGGCATGGGTCCCGCTTCGCCTCCTCTCCCTCTTTTTAACAAGGCTGGACTTCCTCTCCGGCCTCCGCCCCAGACCCCTGTGTTCTACCCTCTCCTCCCCTCCGCCCCTATCCTCCAGCTCCTGTCCCCTTCCCTGTCCTTCCTCCCCTCCTTCCTCTCGCGTCTAACCCCCTCTCCGGGTCTACTGATACCACCCTCGTAGATTCAAACCCACCCCTCGCTGACCTATCTCCAATCCGATTTCCCCTCCCATTAACCCAGCCCTCATCCAGGCAACCGTCTTTCTTCGGCGAGCATGTAGCTCGTCATTCATTATTTGTCGTCCCAACTGTCGTCCTCGTTAGCGTCATCCTCGCCTCTCCACTTCATTACCCGAAAAACTTGGATCACAGTGCAATCCGCCCTGGGTGATCATCGCAGGGGAAACTGATGCAGCTGGTGCTCTGTATGTGTCACCTCCCCTCTCCGTATATTGTTCCCCCTCGTCTTCCCTATCCACTCACCTAATTCCTGTCTGCTGTCCTCTCTCTTCTGCCGAAGCCAAAAGACGGGATAGCGATCCAGTCTTTCTGGGCGGGCTGCCCTCATGGGGCGAACACGCACTGGTGGTGTTTGACGGACAGCCGCCGCCCCAAGCGCGGCACCCAGACTTTGCCCGCTCGCCACAGGTCCTGACTCTTCGGCCCCTCTCTAGAGGCGCAGGACGAAGGCGAGGAGGGCGATGAGAGGCCTGGGATCAGGAATGACGGAGGGGTCGAGGATGATGCCGAGGCGGCCCAGGGCCCGGTCGAGTACGAGGTTGTGGAGAACGGGCGTAAAGCCAGGGTGATCCAAGACCACTCTAGGTCAGACGCGCCTGAATCCGACTCCTCCCCACGGGGGGCGGACGAGGACGAGGACAAAGACGAGGACGAGGCCGAGGAGGAGGAAGGGCAGGAGCCCCACCCAAGGAGCGCAGGAGCTCCTTGTGCTTCACCTCGGCGGCCTGCTCCTCCTGGAGCGCAGACAGCATGCTGTCGATGGCCTTCTTCACCTCTCCGGGGACCGGTGGGACGACGACGGTGACAAGCGCCGACGACGACGAGCAGCGACGACGCCCGGCAACAGCCACGGAGGCGTCGGCGTCGACGGCCAACGGCAACGACGGCCTCGACGAACGACAGACGGCAGCGAGGACGGCGACGGAAGACGGCGACTGACGGCGACGGCGCCGACGAGCGGCGATCAACGCAAAACGACGACGGCAACGACGCACGACAACGACACATGGCGACAACTGACGGCAGCGCGTCGACGACCACGGCGAAGGACGGCGACGACGGCGACCGCCATCGTCGTCGTCGATCGCCGTCTTCATCTCCCGAACGGGCAGCGAGCAGCCCAGCACTTGGAACGGTAACGGATCCGCTGCGAGGACCTCCCGAAGCCTGCCCTGACGTGGGGCGCTACTGCAGGAAAGGCTACGATGACGGCGAAAACGGCGACCTCGAAGACGACATCGATAACAAGGATCATCCATATACACTGGTATCACCAATCTCAGGACCTCTCCCAGTGGATTCGTTCTGAGCAGGAATTCGAGGTGGACCCAGCCAGCCTCCGCCCGCCCCCCCCCCCCCCAGCATCGGCAGCACGTGTCACATACTACTCTCTCTTGAGCGAACACGTGTCCCAGAGATCCGATATCTTGATGTTCCGATGCAGTAAGAGCTCGACCACAAGAAACTTCCCACGAGAAACCAAACCCTGGGACCCCAGGACGTCCACTCTTTCCATCGCAAAAACCATCGACACCAAAGCAACAAAGGGCACCCTGAAGGCAAGCAGGTTGTTTCTTGGCATGTGTTTCCAATGTATGGCCCCCTGGACATCTCGGCCCGTTCCCGAGGGCCAGCTTCTCATCCCGACTCGCTATTTGATGATAGTGGGACCCACGGGAGGCCGAAAACTGCCAAAGCCCTCCGTCGCGAGTTTTCCACGATGCGAGGACGCACACTTTTGGGCCACATCTCGGGCCTCTGGCGGCGATCCAGGACAATCCGCACACCCCAGAGTTCCCTCGGCGATGCGCACCTGCTGGACGACCGACATCCCGAGCCCCGAAAACCGCCCAGACACGCCCCGAACCTTGGCTCTCCTCTGCAGAACTAGGGGGAAAACAAACCTACCTCGCTTTTGACCACCCTCGCTTCCAAGAGATACCAAACGGTGCCAAATCGCAACCTGTACTGGTCAGGCCGCTTGACGAGGCGGTTCGTGGTATGGCTTGGTTTTGCCTGGAAGCGAAAGCGGGGTAGGTAATTCACGCTCTGAAGAACGCGAGCCCCTTCTGGAGGTCAGGAGATAGAGGAACAACACATGCCACAAACACACACGTTCGGAGCTCCGCGCGGAGTCCCTGCATCGGCGCCGGGCCCCTCCCTGGCGCGCGAATTGCGCCAGGGGCGGCGCCAGAGGCGCGGCCCGGGGGCTCCTCCAGCGCCGATCCAAGGACCCAGACCCCCGACGCCGTGATTTCTTCATGACGTGACAGCAAGAAGTCCGGACCCCTTCCCTGGGACCGGCTATTCATCCTGAATTTTCTTTCACGGTCCCGAGGCCCAGGAAGGGCCCCCGGAGCCCGAACTGAGCGAAAAACCGCACGTCGTGGATTCTTCAACCAACGCGAGGCTGTCTGGGAAATCCGCGCGGATCGCCGAAGTTTATATTTCTGTTTTCTTTGGTCCCCGAGGGAGGCGCGACCCCCTCAAGAAGGCCTCCTCGAAGGCGTCCAGCCTCGCGCTCAGGGCCAGCCTGGAGAGAGCCTGGCTGTGGAGGCGCCTGGCAGCGGCGGTCAGGAGCCGGGATGCCTGGCGCGGGTTGTGCAGGCAGGTGCCGCCGCTGCCGCTGAGGCCGCTGTCGTCCCCGTCCTCGTGGCATTCGCCGTCGCCGTCTTCGCTCGTCGCTCGCCTGCAATCCTTCGCGGCCGTCGTCGCCGCACTCGCCGTCATCTTCTTCGCTCGCCGCTCGCCGTTCGTCGCTCGTCGTTGTCGGTCTCGTCGTTTTAATCCTTCGTCGCTCGCGGCTCGTCGTTCGCCGCCGCCCGTCGTCGTCTGTCGTCCGTCGTCGCCAGCGAACATCTTCGCTGTCGTCCTGCTGGTGCTTCTCGCCATCCTCCCAGAGGTAGGGACACCTTCCCGAAGACTGGCTTCTCATCCCAAGTCGTTCTCTGTCTGCCTCGTGCCCAGGACAAGGGGGCTCCCGTCAGGTAATGCTCTTTTCTCCTATTCCGCCTCATCCCCAAAATTTTCCGCCACCGTGCCTGAGGCACGAGTTGGAGTGCTATCAAGGTCTTAGAGTCCCCAGTCCTCAAGATAGAGTACGCAGGGGCCCGCATTCTCCAGGGCTTCCCGCGTGAACAGGCCAGACCTCACACAACGCTTCCTTGGGTTTGGGAAGGATTTTAGCGTTGCCGCCCTGTCGGGCTTCTGACCAGAACTGCCAAAAAGGCCTCCGAGATCGTACCAAGACGGATCAAGCGGCTCCCAAGGAGGGCCCCCAAAAAGACCACAGAGGGCACATCCCGAGACGGCCCCAACAAGGGCCCCAAAGGGGCAACACGAACTGGCATCCGCCCCAAGACGATGACTCCCGAGACCGCCAGCAGCCCGCCTAGAGCCCCCTTCTGAAGCCCCAAAAGGCTTAAACGAAGCCCAAATGAGGCCACAAGAAACCTCGAAGAGGTCCACGAGAGCCCCCCAAGACACTCCCAAACCGCCTCCATGATGCTCCGGAAGGCCTCCTAGGCATCCCGAATGCCTCACACATACCACCCAGGCACGGTGGCGGGATGGACCGAAGGCCACTCAATTGGCCTGGCTACACCGACATCGCCACACCTGACTAAACGCTTCTGCGCAGGAGGACCCCTCCCCCTTCCCTCCCGAATCTGCCGCTGCCACTTCTCTCCACCAGCGACGGCATGGGACGACAGACGACGACGAACACGACGACGACGACGAAGACGACGACGACGACGACGACGACGGCGACGGCGGCGACGGCGGTGGCGGAGGCGGCGGCGGAAGTGGCGGCGCTGGCGGCAGCGACGGCAGCGAGAGCGGCGGCGGCGCAGGGGCCTGGCAAAGGCCTTTGGAAGACAGAGTACGGCCACAGACCTCCCGTCGCATTCTTTAGGACGCGAGGAGGTGTTGTTTTGATACTATACATCGGCGCTGACGCAGCCGTTCGGGACGGTTTGAGCACAGCCAGAAGCCTCTCCGCAAGGCGCAGCTGCTGGAAATCATCGGGAGTCCAGAAGAGGGCCGACGACGACGACGACGACGACGACGACGACGACGACGACGACGACGACGACGGCGGCGCTGGCACCGGCGGCGGCGCCCTCGCAGCCGCCGCGGGCTGCGCGCCTGGTCGCGGCGGGCGGACTGCTCCGAGCTGCGCTGCTGCAGCAGCGAGGCCGCCGCCTTGTTGAAGGTGCGGGCGTAGAGGTCGTGGGCGTCGTCGCTGGCGAGGATAGCGAGGGCCTCCAGCTGGGTAGGGGGGGGGACACCTCCTCTCGAGAGGTTTTGGACTGTCTTCTGCCTGCGGGGGTCTCGCTGGGCCCCGGTCACTCGGAAACAATACCTGGAGTGAAAAGCCGGTTCCCAGGAAGGGATCCAGCCCTCGGAAGTACCACGTTGCGAAACGAATCACGAAGACTGATGTCTGAGTGGGGGGGCGGCGCTTTGCGGATCGGTCCTGCCGTCCTTCTCTGTTTCTCCTTCCTCGTGCTTTACCTTCTACTCCTCCTTCTCCTCTTCTCCAAAAATACTTACGGAGAGTCGCTGGTGGGTCGCGGGCCGCGTCGCGGGTGGGCCGCGGGTGGGTCGCGGGTTGGACAACGACAACAAACAACAAACAATTAACAACAAACATCATACATGCAACAAACAATAAACAACAAACAACACACAACAACAATCAACAAACAACAACAAAAGCACACACACGCACACACCAGCATACCAACACCACCAACAACACCAACAACAACACAAAAAACAGCAGCAACAACAACAAGCACAACAACAACAGCAACAACAACAGCAGCCACAACAACACCGATAACAACAACACCAATACCAACAACAGCAACAACACCAACACCCCTTCCACCACCACCAACAACAATAGCATCATCAACAACATCAACTACAACAACAACATCAACACCAACAGCAACACCGTTGCAACCACTAACAACAACGCCCGGGACCGCGGAACCTCACTTCAGCCACGCGCCCAAGGACAATCAATGACCGCCGGGCTCCTTCAATCTGATATTACACCATATAGCGTTTACCTCCTCAGATCACACAAAATAGCTTGAAAGAGAAAGATGTCTTCACAAAGCTTACGCCGCATAGCGATCATATCCTCAATGCGTTCATGCACTGCTTGGGGTTCACGTTGGCTATCATAGTGTTTCCCTTGGTTTTCTCGTTATCCTCCTCCTCAGCGCCGAAGGCTGGTGGTCGCAAGCGGCGAGGCCTCAGTGCTTGATGGAGGATTTCCCCTTGCTTGCGCGAATGAACCGTTCGGCTTCTTGGTGCTGCCGGATGACTATTCCTCCTCCTCCTCCTCCTCCTCCTCCTCCTCATCCTCCTCCTCCCACTCCTCTCCTCCTCCTCCTCTTCCTCCCTCCTCCTCCTCCTTCTCCTCCTCCTCCTCTTCCTCCTGCTCCTCCTCTTCTTCCTCCTCCTCCTCCTCTCCTCCTCCTCCTCCTCCTCCTCTCTCTCCTCCTCCTTCTCCTCCTCCTCCTCCTCCTCCTCCTCCTCCTCCTCCTCCTCCTCCTCCTCTCCCTCCTCCTCCTCCTCCCTCTCCTCCTCCTCCTCCTCCTGCTCCTGTCCCTCCTCCTCCTCCTCCTCTTCATCCGCCTCCTCCTCCTCTTCCGCCTCCTGCTCCTGCTCCTGCTCCTCCTCCTCCTCCTCTTCATCCGCCTCCTCCTTCTCCTCCTCCTGCTCCTGCTCCTCCTCCTCCTCCTGCTCATCCTCCTCTCCCTCCTCCATCACGCCCTCCACCTCTGACGCCTCTCCTTCCCTCGTGCTGCTCCTCTCCCCGCTCCTCCCTTCCTCCCCCTTCCCCCTCTCCTACCGACGGTAGTGGTGGTGGAAATTCGGCCCATCAGGTAGGCCTCGAGATTCTGGCAAAGGCGCGCCCAATGGAGAAGTCCGAGAAGTCGACTTCGAGGCCAGGGGCCATGTGATCCGGCGTCTTGAGTTTCCAACGCGGGGCCCCCAGAAAGCTCGACCCTCCTGGGGAGCGGCTTTGTTTTTGTCGACGGTCCAGGGACCTGGCGATGGCCTCTTCTTCGTGCTGATTCAATACAGTGGAGGCCGATCCACAAGAAACCTTCCACAAGAAACCCAACCCAGAGACCCCAGGACGTGGGAGCGTCACGCCCTCCACAGCAAAACCATCGAAACCCAAGAAACCCAGGGAACCCTGGAGGCAAGTAGAGTGTTTCTTGGCATGGGCCTCCCGAGCGCTGGGGAAGTAGCCAATGCCTCCGAGTTCTGGCCCTCACGGAAGCCAGGCTGGGGCTCCGGGGCCATGGCGACGACTCTGGAGACCCACGTCGTCGGAGTTCTGCCCAGGCTGCAGCCTTCCTTGGGAGCCAAATGCTGGGAGACTCTCCTAAGACCAACGACATGCTCGCTCGTAGGCCCGATGAAGAAGCCGTCAGGCCTGCCACTCTAGGCCCGAGGAAAGTCTGGATTCAAGCAGGCTCCACTGGATTAAGCTGCTTTTGACGGGATTACCTACGCCGGATTGGGCCAGTGTGCGACCATGGATGTACCAGCGCCGATGTTGAATTTCATTCCCCAGGAGCTGCACTCCAACGTCCCATCCCCCTCTCTTCAAAGCTGGCCCCAAATTGAAAAAGGCCTTCGGGGGCCAGCCCCCCACGCCGCTACGGCTGCCAAAGGCATCCGACGCCGTGTCTTTGGTTCATAACGTGGCTCCCCAAAGGCCTGGACCCATTCCCCAGGACCGGCTTCTCGACCCGAATCGCTCAGTCGTCGGCCACGTGGCCTGGCGAGAGAACCCCCAGAAACCGATCACAGCCCAAAACACGCAGTCGCGACGCGGCGCGAGGAGGTGGGGCTTACAGGTCATATATATATATACATATATATATACACATATACATACATGCATACATACATACACACATACATACCAGAACCATCGCGCGCGCTTTGCGCGCGCTCACGTCCCAGCTTGGCTTGATGGGCGAACCCATGGAATATCATCCTTGGAATTGCAAGCCCTGCGTAATCCTCGGAATTGCGTAGAAGGGGAACTGCAGAAACGCAGAAATCATAGATTGCCGTTAGGTATTCAACGATTTGGGGCCCTCGAAGGCTTCCGGGCTCTTATCTGGGGCCTTAGCTGTGGTCTGTTATTCAAGAATAGACAGGGGGGGGCGAAATTGGGAAAAAACGAAATGGTGGACAGTTCATTTTTTGTAAGTTGTAGTGCCTGGGCTGTGGGTTAGACGTTTTCTGCATGCAGTCCACGGTCTGTTGGGATGCCTCTCGGGGTCTTCGTGCGGAAAAAAGCAGGGGGTGCGTTTGAAAAAAAATAATTCTTAAAAAATCCACTGCTTCAACTCATGGGATAATGGGATCTCGATTTCTGAAAATGGTTCCACGGGCAGCCAAGAGCACACGAAGACGATCCAAGAGAGTGCCAAGACAGCGTCAGAGAGTTCAACAGCATTCCCGAAACATTTTTGCAGGTGGCACCGAAGTTTTGATGAGGCTTTAAGACGAGGATAGGGAGTAGGAGTCCCAAGTTGGAAACAAATAGTCTCTGGAAATCCTGTCTCTTTGTTTGTAAAAAACTTGGTCTTGGAGCGCTGGAAGCGGGAAAATGAGAAGGCGAAAAACGTTAGTCAAAACCGCTGGAAAGCAACGATTTTACCCTCTTCGGGCTCTCTCGGGACGGCTCTCGAAGCTCTCTTGGGCTGTTTTGGAGGCCTCGTCGAGGATTTTTTGGGAGCCTCTCAGGGGTCTGGGGTGTGTTGGAGGCCTCTGGGGGGTCCCGGAGTCCTCTCAGAGGTCTCTAGAGGCCTCCTGCTCCCGCTCTTGGGCTCATCTTGGGTTTGTTCTGGGGGCGTCTGGAGCTGTCCTGGGCGCCTCTCTGGCAGTCTTGCGGCCGCCTTGGCCCGTCTTGGGGCCGTCTTGGGGCCGTCTTGGGGGCCTCTTTGGCGGTCTCGGGGCGGTCTTGGGGGCCTCTTCGGCCGTCTTCGAGCGTTGGACGCATGAAATGGTGAGAATGCCAAAAACCTTAAAAGAACAATGACAACTTATCAATTTTAGGCTCTCCTGGCGCTCTCGGGAGGCCTCTCGGAGCTCTCTTGAGGTCTTCTGGGAGCCTCCTGGGAGCCTGGAGAGCCGCCCGAAAGCTATCCTGGGTTGCTTGGGAGCGTTTCTGGCGATTCTTTAACGTTCTGGGGGCTTCTTGGGGGCGTCTTGGGCTGTCTTTGGGCATTGTGGTGGCTCCCCAGAATGCCAGGATGCGCGCTACTGGCAGCGTAGTCGAGATGTGAGCAAGGTGGAGGATGCCCCAGGAAAGGGCCTGGCGTTTTTTTCGGGGGGGGGGGGGCATGTCCTCCGAAAGGCGGATTTTGGACGAAAACTAAAACAATATAATCAACAACTGCCCAAAATGGTTAGGAAGAGTCAAGAGATCGTCCCCAGACTGACGTTATTACTTTTGAATATTCCTCCTGTATAAGAAAAACATGCCCGGCTTAACCCTATCCCCAAACTGTTGTCCCGGAGATCCGCTGCTGATGGCTCTGCATGAGGCCCGCGAGCGGCCTCTCCGACGGCGGGAAAACATAGAGGAAAAACAACGCCGGCCGACGGTACCCAAAACAGGTCGACCGAGATCTGGGGACGTCCGTGCAGCTGTGGAGGAGCGCGCTCCACTACTCGCAGACAGGAGCTGCTCGCAACTGACCTGGATCCGCCACGAGGGATTCGAGATCCATTACATAAAATACAAAAAAGGCCCGACAACAAGAAACTGTCCTCAAGAAACCCAGCCCTGAGACCCCAGGACGTTCATTGTTTTTGGTGTGGGGGCGCCACGCTTTCCATGGCAAAACCATAAAACCCAAGAAACCCAGGGCACCCTGGAAGCAACCAGGGTGTTTCTTGGCATGGCCTTCGACCAGAAAGGATCTCTCCAACAAACTCAAGGGGTTTTTATTTTTGTCCCACCCGCGTCGCACCCGCTTTCACACACCCGCCTCCCCTGCTCACCTTTCCTCGGTAGCGTAATGGGGTTATGGTTTTCTTCTCTGCCGCGTCGCACCCGCGTTTTCCTCACCTCCCTCCATCTTCCCTCCTCACCTCCTCTTCCAATCTCACGTCATCCACGCGCACCCCACGCACGGCAGGGGGTGCGCAAAGAGTGGTCACGCACCGCGGCCGCTATGCGCGACGGTCGTCCAGGAACAGCAGACGTGTCACTTTCTCGACACCATAGAAAGTTCGCAGGGGATGGTCTCTCACCGCGGCCGCTATGCTCGCCGGTCGTCCACGTCACAGCACGCGTGGCATTGTCTCAACACCATAGAGAGTTCGCAGGGGATGATCTCTCACCGTGGCCGCTACGCGCGGCGGACGTCCATTGCAAAGCAGGCGTGGCATTTTCGACATCATAAAAAGTTCGCAGTGGTGGACACTCACCGCGTCCGCTATGCGCGATGGTTGGCCAGGCACAGCAGGCGTGGCTTTTTCTCGACACCATAAGGGGTTCGCAAGGGGTGGTCTCTCGCCGCGGCCGCTACGCGCGACTGTCGTCCAGGAACAACAGACGTGCCACCTTCTCGACACCATGGGCAGTGCGCAGGGGGTGGTCTCTCACCGCGGCTGCTATGCTCGCCGGTCGTCCACGTCACAGCATGCGTGGCATTTTCTCGACACCATAGAGAGTTCGCACGGGGTGATCTCTCACCGCGGCCGCTACGCGCGACGGTCGTCCATTGCAAAGCAGACGTGGCATTTTAGACACCAAAGGGGGTGCGCAGGGGGTGGTCTCTCACTGCGGCTGCTACGCGCGACGGTCGTCCAGGGCAGAGCAGGCGTGGCATTTACTCGACACCACAATGGGGTGCGCAGGGGGATGGTCTCTCTCCGCGGCCGCTATGCGCGACTGTCGCCCAGGCAAGGCAAGGCAAGCGTGGCATTTTCTCGACACCATAGAGAGTTCGCAGGGGGTGATCTCTCACCGCGGCGGCTGCGCGCGACGGTCGTCCATTGCATAGCAGGCGTGGCATTTTCTCGACACAGTAGGGGGTGCGCAGGAGGGTCGGTCTCCCAGGGCCTACGTTGCGCGCGTGGCACCTTCTCGAGGCCACATGGGCACGCAAGCGGGGGGGGCTATCATCATTATCAAGAGCATAATTCTCGCAAGTTTCACGTCAGCTACCATCAAGCCAGGCATCTTATCAGTATGTGTGGTTCCTCGGTAGCGCAATTTATTCCTGACGTTTGCGAGCCAGCACTTTGCGAGTACTGGAACGCGCTCGGTGAAGCTGGGCTCGGCTCGGAAGGCAGGGGCGCCGGGAGGGTGCCTGGGAAAGGCTTGCCTTGAGCGGAGCCAACCTGCTGGACGGAGTGCGCGCATGGGAGGCTCCAAGCGGGGGGGGGCGGCCTTGGACACGGCGGCCATTTCCGCGGCGCGCGTCTTCTGGCGCTCCTGCCACTCGGCGTCGGTCATGGAGCACTTCTCCTGGAATGCAGTGGGCGCTCGACCACAAGAAACCTTCCAGAAGACACCCAACCTTGGAACCACAGGGCGTCCACTAACTTCTGGTGTGGGCACGTGGAACGTCACGCTCTCCATGGTAAACTATCGAAACCCAAGGAAAACCAGGGCACCCTGAAGGCAGGCAGGGTGTTTCTTGGCATGGGCTTCCACTATAGGGACAGGCTGAGGAGGGTGGGGAACAGCAGGAAAGGAGGGGGAGGACACCGCCGACCACGAGGGGAGAGACCGCCTTCGACATGCACATAGGGGGAAGAGGAGGGCCTGAGCGGGGAAGAGGCCGGGGTCGCTCCCGAAACTCAGACCCCCGAGGTCGTGATTCTGTCGCAACGTCGACGCCCAGAGGTGTGGACCCCTTCCCGGGAAGCAATTTTCTATTCTGAGTCGTTCTCTGATGTCCCCGAACCCGGTAAGGGCCCCTGGATGTCGAACATAACGAAACACCCCCCGTCCCGTGTTCTTTCTCTAGTCACATCGCGGGGAGGTCTGGGAACCTTCCTCCCCGCCCGCTTCGCCTCCCCGGTCCGCCCCGCAACAAAGGGCGTGCGCCCCCGCGGGCGCCAGCCCGAACGGCGCGGGCCCGCCCTCCGTGCCGCCGCCGCCGCCGCCGCCGCAGCTCTCTCTCTCTCTCTCTCTTTCTCTTTCTGCGGGGCGGCGGCGGCGGAAGTGCGGTGCGTGGGAGGCCGGGAGTTCCTGGGGGGGGCCCTGGGACCGGGCGGGAAGCAAGGGGCCCCGCTAAGCCCGGAGAAGGAGGAGGAGGAGGAGGAGGAGGAGGAGGACGAGGGAGGAGGGAGGACAGGAAGGAGGGAGGACAGGAAGGGAGGAGAGAAGAGAGAGGGAGGCGGAGGAGGAAGAAGAGAAGGAGGGAGGGGAGGAGGGAGGAGGGAGGATGAGGTGGAGGAGGAAGAGGAGGAGGAGGAGGAGGAGGAGGAGGAGGAGGAGGAGGAAGGAGGCTGGTTGAGGGATGCTATAGGCCATCGTTTGCCCGTTTTGGATCCCATTGGCGGGGCACCGACCCCAGCGGTAAAACTCAGGATGGAACCCACGGCCCCGCGAGGCCTGGGGCTTGCAAGCGTTGCAAAGGGCTCCCGCGTTTCGTCTTGGAGTGCGCCATAGCACCGCACACAGCACAGCAAAGTGCATTGTCGTGGACGGCGGCCACATCGTCTTCGGAAGCGAATCCCTCCTCCAGGGGGTGACCCAACTGCTTCCACACTCCGAGAGGAGGGTCAGGGAAGTCCGAAGAGGAGGCGGGCGGCTCAGCATCGGACGGGTCCTGCGTCACCTCAACCTCCACATTCCTCCCTCCAGGAACAAGCATGGGGAGCCCAGGGATCGCGTCCAGCAACACATGACTGAGCCACTCCAGGCCGACGTGACTCCTCACAGCGAGGTCACGGCATTCAACCTGCTGAGCTGCCGAGTCTGGTCGTCAGCTCCCAGCCGCCTTGAATCGTGAAGCGGTCGCCTGAAGCAAAACAGAAGGGTAACGCTCCCTGCTTGGGCAGGCGGTCCGCTGCTGAATTCCCGGACCTCTGAAGCTCGGCTACCTTACCCCCCCTGGCATCCACAGCGGACGATCTCGAGACGATGCGTTCGAGTGTGGGTGCCCTCGAGACGATCTCCGATCTCGGCCCAGATGTGAGCCCTCGCCGAAGGGGCGGAAAGGAAGAGGAGGAGGAGGGAAGGGAAGAAGAGGAGGAGGAGAGGCGGGGGAGGAGGAGCAGGAGCAGGAGCAGAAGCAGGAAGAGAAGAAGGTAGGAACCGGGAGGCGGACTCTCGGCGAGGCGTACCCCGCAGACAGTGTCACCCAGACCGAGCCGCTCCTGACTCCCCTCCTCCTCTCCCCGAGGCCAGTCGGACGGGCGTCACGGGCGTTTCGCCCGAGACGCTCCTACCACTGAAGACCTTGCAGCATGACATTTGGCAGGCCGTTTCCAAAGGCGTGGCCCTCGCCTTCGCGCCGCGCGCATGCCTTTCGGCAAATGGCTGGAGTTGCACGGATTGCGGGCGGGTCGCTTTCAAAATGGGGGCTCTCGCCCCCGCGCCGCGCAAGTTCGTGTTAGAACTTGGCTGGAGCCGGACATATGGAGGTCGCCTCTGATCCAAAATGTCGCTCTCGCCTGAGCGCCGCGCGCTTTCGCTTTTTTGTTTTGTCGACAGCTGTAAGATAGACGCGGAGTCGTATGATTCACGTACCACAGTTACTGTTGTGAACTGACTCAGGAGTGCTGGACGCAAAATGTTTTTTGATTTGCAGCGCTGGAGTCCCAAGAGTGCTTTTCCGCCGCGACTCAGGATCGTCATGTTGTTGTGTGGCGCTGAAATTGCGAGGATCATGTTCTGGTACGCTTCAGGATCTTGAAGCGGTTGTCTCCAAACAGACACTTTCCTCACTGGAAACGAATTCCTGTAGGGGCCTATGAAGGGGGAGCTTGGAGGGAGGGTTTATTCCACTATCGTTTAGTCTTGGGTTTGCAGTTGTCCCACCTCCTCCTCTTCTGTTATTCCTCATCCTCCCGCTCCTCCCTTTAGAGACTTGCTCTGGGGACCTCCCTGGATTCACTCGCTCCACTCATGCGTCGATGCTGCGTCGAACGTCTGTCGGCTTGAGTCTAACTTGAGCCAGACCACAGTTGACCTAGAGTCAAGCCAGAATCGGCTAGGAGATGAGGGCCCCAGGAAAGGACCTTCTCGTGAGCATCTAACTCCACCATCCTCCCTCAACCTCTCCTTCAACATCATCAAGAACTTCTCGTCCGCGGCGAGCGACTCCTGGGTGTCCTCGAGGTCCTGCGCTCAGAGCAGGGACGCAGGGCCCGCACGCGCGGAGAGGCTCATATCCTCCCGGAAGCTGCGGGAGACGCGGCAGAAGTTGTGACAACATCGATCTGCCACGAGATCGGGATCTTGACGGATTCATCTGACACGAGAAGACGTGTTCAAATCCTGTCGTGATCCGATTCGGTACGTCGCGCGAGCGTCTCCCAGCGTCGGATGTCGCCGCCGCTCTCGACCACCCTTCCCCCACTCCGGGAAGGGAGCCGGGGGAAATGGGAGGGGCAATGGCAGAAAACAGAACGCGTTGGTGGGTGGGCGCCTGGGGCAAAGATACTGATAAGGAAGAGAGGAGCACTGTCCTAGCAGTAGCCAGGGTGTTTACAAAACGCAAATCAAGTGAAATGGGCGGAAAGGATAAAGAGGAGGGACGACTTGTGGCCAACAGGAGGAGGGAGAGGGAAGGAGAGTGGGGTGGAAGAGGGAGGGGGAGGAGGAAAGAAGGGGAGTGCAACAGGAGAAAGAGAGAGGGGGACGGGGTAGACGGGTAGGGCGTCAGGAAAGAAGTGGGAGGACAAGGCGAGGAACCCACCTTCTTCCTTACTCCCCGCGCCCTCCCTCGTCCCTCCCCCCTCCTCTCCTCGTCGTCCTCGCATTCCTGTCACATCCCCTCCCACTACCCCGTCCTCCAGTCCTCCCCCTCTCCGTCCGCCTCCTCAAGCCCCTTGCCATCCCGGATATTTCAAGGTTTGTGCCCACCCCCCAAAAAATGCAAACGTCTTCCTTTCAAACACCCCGCACACTAACCTCCCCCATACATTCAGCTCGCGCGCTCAATCAGGCATACAGAGGGAACATCGCGCGGGAGCCTCGTCTGTGAACGGATTGGAATAAGGATTATGGGGGAGTCATCCACGAAGGGCCCCCTTATATCATCTTACCGAACCAGAGCCGCTCGCATACTGTAACTGTCCTATTTCTGGGCCCCCTGAGGACTGAATACCGAGGAAATTTCGAGCGAGACGATGATTGTATTGAATTGCGGGGACGCCTCAGCTGGGAGACCCATACGTATAGAGCCCCCTGGATCATGCTTCCAATCCAACAGGGGGTCATTCGAACCCTGTAACTGGTGCCACGTTTGGGGATGTGAAGATTGAATCTGGAAGACGTCTCGAGTGGGAGCCTCATCTGTGAGTGCGTTGTCAAGACACGTTCGGCGGGAGCCTCCTCCCTGGGGCGCCCCCCCAGATCATGCTATCGATCCGATGGCGGTCATCCGAGCCTAGAAATATCGTCAGCATGGGAGCCTTCATGGTTGAATTGGAAAAACAACTTGAGCGGGTGCCTCGTTTGTGAGTAGATTACGCGCAACTCTCGAACGATAGACCCTCACTTTCGGGCGTGGACCATGTTACACCGCCGACAGAATCACGCGAGCCATGCGGCAGTCGTCACCCTGGGGCCCCTGAAGACTAAATGTGGACGAAATTTCCAGCTGGAGTCCTGTGAGCAGATCGCGGGGACACATCAGGCGGGAACCCTCGGAGCCCCCTTCCGTATGAGCCTCCGAACCACGTTTCCAATCCGGGCAGGGTGCCCGCACCCTGAACGTGTCTCTCAATTTCGGCCTCCTAGAGACTGAATCGTCGCTTCTTGGCACCTGAGGACGGAATCTGGAAGACGTTTCCAGTGGGAACTTCATATGTGAATGAAACGTAAGGAAATCTGGGGCGGGAGAGTCCCGTCCTTCCAGGTCCCACCCCCCAGGTCACGTTGCCAATCTGCCAATCCGTTGGGGATTAGCGGTTAGCCGTAACCTATCATTGTCGTTACTTTTGGGATCTTGAAGCCTGAATGATGGAAACGTCTGCAGCGGGAGCCCACAAGGAGGAGGCAGCCGGAGGAGGAAGCGACGTGCGCAAACTATAGTTGGGGACTCGCGATCCACGGGGGGGAAAAGGAGGATGCCTAGAGGCCTCCCAAATGAAGTCGGACTAGATAGGGTCCCCAAATCGCGCCGCATCGCCGATGCATCGCAAACATTCAATCTTTGTTTGGGGTGTTTCATGCGAGCCGGCCATCTTTCTCAGACAGAACTTCAATACCATTGAGGGAACGCGAACCACAGTCGCTCGACTGGGTGGGCAAGAATTCCCCTCCCCTTCCCACGGAGCCGGGGGGAGACGGGGTGTGGAACCCCACTCCGGACCCCCCCCTCCCCTCCCCGGAAACCGGGGGGGGGAGGGTACAGGAGGACCGCTCCCCGCCACTTTGAACCCAGGGGGGGGGAGCGGCTCGAACCTGCTGGAATCGAATCCTGACACTGATCCTGGATCACTCTGCAATTGAGTCCTACGAAGACTCGATCGAGCACTGAGAGGGTGGTAAGATCAGGCGAGGTCCAGCTTTTATATAATCCGACTGGGACTGGATCCAGCTATGATGGAATCGTACAATGGATCGGCCCAGCCCTAATCGAATCCTGCTACTAGACCTGGATGTTGCTCTACTCGAATCCGACGAGGGCACGGTCCAAGTTCAATACAGCCCTACTACGGGGTGGATCCCGCCCACGTTGGATTTTACTCTTGATCAATCAAACTCGAATAAGGTCTGAGTATGGTCTAGATACAGCGCTGGCGGATGGGCCTATTCGCTTGGGCACGATCCAGTCTTGACGCAAATCTGTTAGGGCTCTTTCCAGCTTTTTTAAAATCGGATTCTACAACAGCTTTATCCAGCTGTGAAAGAATCCTACGAAACTTGGGTTCAGCTGTAATGGAATCCCCCCATATCGAAGCGAGACACTGTTTCGCCCCCCTCTGGCCAGTAGCAGCAGAAAGCGATCTGCCAAACCATTCAAACCTATTGGGTGTCTGCAGGCTTTAAGTTGAAATGCTGAAAACATCCTTGTGCTGCTGGAGCGTCCAGTGTTCGAAAGGTTGAGGGTGTCCCGGGCGAAAAAGGCAGAGCCAACGCCACGGCTTCGATGGACCACTTATCATATCCAATCCCATCGGGGAGGCGCGTACGATGAATCTATACGTAAGTCTAGACACATGTATACACGTACATACATATGTGTGCCCCGCTTCGACGGGGTTGAATTTAGAGGCTAACTGCAGCCAGCCGTGCTTGCGCGGGCCGCTTCTTTTGTTGCATCCTCACACTTCTGAACTTCGGTCAAGCCCCTCACGCATATCGCAGAGTCAGGGTCACACGTGAAACCTTCAAACCACAGAATATGTACATACTGTAAGGGTGTTCGAAATGTCTTTTCAACTTGTTTGCAATCTGATTGTTCGACGTTGTAGAGGAAGACCTCCCACAACACAGTGTACTCCAGTGAAAATGCGCACTGCTGCTAGAGCAACGCCGGTTTTCTTCAGTTTCCATGTTTGTTATCCGTGTCGTCGAACTCTTCGACGTCTGAGCGTTCCTTCTTCCTCTCGGCCGTCCTCCCCCCTCTTGGCTCGCCGGCCAATTCGCAAGTTAGTGCCTCTATCTAGCTTCTCGCTGGAGCGGGATTCCCCGCATCGCCGCTGACGGAAACAAAAAGATGGTTCTCCGTGTGCATCCATCGCAGGCCGGGGTCCCCGAATTTCGATCAGCCAGGCGATAGTTGCGTATCAGTCGCCGCCAGCCGCTGCGATGGGTAGAGGGTACCAGTCTCTGTGCTTCGCTGTCCTTTCCTGCCTAATTACGCCGGCCTGGTCACGGCAAGAGCACCCATTTACCGGGTGCCCTGGGTTACTCAACTTCGCGCATCCTGACCCGCGACACGCGACTATCCCCGCGCCCCTTGGAGACAGGCAACCGCCCTGGCCCAGACCGCGACGCGCGAGGCGCGATGATAGTCGCGCACCAGCGAGTGACCCCCTTTAAGGTCCCAGCCAAGTGCTGTGACAGACCGTGTGGTGACCTCGACAAGCCCCAAATACCCCATCGCACGGACCGTCACCGAACAGGCTCGGGACTGTGAAGGCACCAATGTCCCGGAGGCATCCTCGGAGAACAACCGAAGTCCCGAAAGCGCGCGGTCCTCCCAAATTCCCACTGATTCACAACACGGTGTGGTCCCACCGGCTTTTTTTTGGGGGGGGGGCGGGCGGTGCAATGTCCAAGGGGGGGCACGGCCACTCCTTCGAGGAAGCGCCATTTCCGTTCGAAAACGGGGGGCCTGGGAAGCTCCAGCGTCTTCCAAAACGATATTGTATATGTTTTCTTTGACCGAGGCGCGGGGCGCGGAGCGCGCCAGGGGCGGCGCCGGAGGCGCCGCCGGGGAGGCCCAGCGCGGATCCAAGGAATTCGCGCGGAGCGCCAAAAGTGTCTGTTTATGGTTTTTGTCCTTCGCCTTTGGCTTCTGCCCTGCTGCGGTCCTCTTTGGAGCTGGCCAGGCGCTCGTCCGTCTCCGCCTTCTCCTGCGGCGGCGGGGACTCTTGACGCCGGGCCGCCATGGCCCGGCGGGGCGGGGGAGAGCTCTGACGCCGTCGCGTCGTGGCAGAAGTCAGGCCGGGGGAATTTCGACGATGCTCGACGGTCTTCTGGCCTCGGGATGCCTTCCAGAAACTGCGCCTCGCCGAAACTGTTCCTGGGGGGGGCCCAAATCGTTCCGAACGGCCGCTGGAGGGCGATAGCCAAACCTCCTCGCGACTTTCCGTCACGACGACGGGTGGTTTCCCGTGTTCGGCCTCCAGGTGCCCTGGCGGGGCCCTGGGACCGTCAACAGAACGACGCAGGACACTCCGGATGGCAGAATCATCGGGGTGGCGGCGGCCAACCTTCCGACGGAGCGTTCCCATCAACACCCCCGCCCCACCACCCCTCAAGTTGCGCCCAAAATTCTCGTCTTCCCCCCACCTGGCGCAGGAACTCGAGCTTCCAAACTGCCATCCCCCCCACCCCCCCCCCGACGGCACGCGCCCATCCCCCCCCCCCTTGAACCCAGGGGGGGGGGCGATTAATCAGAGTGAGGGGGCCGAACGGTCATTCATTGTCCCTGGGTGCATGGATGAATAGGGAATTTGTGATGAGGATTCTGCTTGTTGCGTTACTGTTTTGTAGTTGGTGTTGCTGATGATGCTGTTGTTAGTGGTGTTGTTGTTGCTGTTGTTGTTGCAGCTGTGGTTGTTATCATTGTCGTTGTCGTTGTCGTTGTCGTTGTCGTTGTTGTTGTTGTTGTTGTTGTTGTTGTTTATGTTGTTGTTGTTGTTGTTGTTGTTGTAATTGTTGTTTGTTGTCGTCGTCCCACCCGCGACCCACCCGCGACCCACCCCGCGGCCCACCCCGCGACCCACCCGCGACCCACCCCGCGACCCATCCGCGACACATCCGAGACCCACCCGCGACCCACCCCGCGACCTACCGGCGATCCACCCCGCGACCCAACCTCAAAAGAGGAGAAACCACCCGGACCCGACAATTGACGTTTACTAAATGGCCTTCGGCGTTTACTAAACAGCCCTGCCCTGTTCGATTCATGCTTGCGCGCGTATGCTAAACGGCTTCGCTTGTCGGGGTGATTATTTTGAAATGGATATTCTGCCTTCTACACCAGCGATCCACCCGCGACCCAACAGCGACCCACCCGCGACCTACCCACATAGGCTTGACGGAGAAAATCGGCGCCTGCGGCGGGCTTCTCCAGAGTCTCGCAAACTGCCGACGTCCCCACCGCCCCCTCACTCTTATCCGAACCTGTGGGCTGCTATATATATATATATATATATATATATATATATATATACTAGAACCACGCGCGCGCTTCGCGCGCGCTTAGGTTCTGTCGAGTCACAGACCCAGGAATCGTTGTGAGAAGAAATTGGTGACGCGAAGCGTCGTGGGGGCGTCCTTGGACGTCTGGGGTCTCCTGGGGCCTCTTGAGGGGCCTCCTGGGGGCCTCCTGGCGGCCTCTTGGGGCGGAAGGCTCGAGCTTGCGGTTCGTGGTCCCCCTCTGGGCCCCCTCTTGGGCCCGTCTTGGGGCCCTCTTGGGCCATCTTGGGCGCCTCTTGGGCCGTCTTGGGGCCCTCTTGGGCTGTCCTGGGGCCCTCTTGGAAGCTTCTTGGGCCGTCTTGGGGCGGTCTTGGGCGCCTCTTGGGCCGTCCTGTAACGTCGGAAAGCCCAAAAGGCGACTTTGTTGAAAATGTACGTTTTACGAAGGGAATGGGCCAATTTTTGCGTCTAGGGGCCCTCTTGGGACGCATGTTGGAGGCTTCTTGGGGCGTCTTGGGGGCGTCCTTGGACGTCTGGGGTCTCCTGGGGCCTCTTGAGGGGCCTCCTGGGGGCCTCCTGGCGGCCTCTTGGGGCGGAAGGCTCGAGCTTGCGGTTCGTGGTCCCCCTCTGGGCCCCCTCTTGGGCCCGTCTTGGGGCCCTCTTGGGCCATCTTGGGCGCCTCTTGGGCCGTCTTGGGGCCCTCTTGGGCTGTCCTGGGGCCCTCTTGGGAACTTCTTGGGCCGTCTTGGGGCGGTCTTGGGCGTCTCTTGGGCCGTCCTGTAACGTCGGAAAACCCAAAAGACGACTTTGTGGAAAATGTACGTTTTACCAGGGGAATGGGCCAATTTTTGCGTCTAGGGGCCCTCTTGGGACGCATGTTGGAGGCTTCTTGGGGCGTCTTGGGGGCGCCCTTGGACGTCTGGGGTCTCCCGGGGCCTCTTGAGGGGCCTCCTGGGGGCCTCCTGGCGGCCTCTTGGGGCGGAAGGCTCGAGCTTGCGATTCGTGGTCCCCCTCTGGGCCCCCTCTTGGGCCCGTCTTGGGGCCCTCTTGGGCCATCTTGGCCGCCTCTTGGGCCGTCTTGTGGCCCTCTTGAGCTGTCCTGGGGCCCTCTTGGAAGCTTCTTGGGCCGTCTTGGGGCGGTCTTGGCCGCCTCTTGGGCCGTCCTGTAACGTCGGAAAGCCCAAAAGAGAACTTTGTTGAAAACGTACGTTTTACGAAGGGAATGGGCAAATTTTTGCGTCTAGGGGCCCTCTTGGGACGCATGTTGGAGGCTTCTTGGGGCGTCTTGGGGGCGTCCTTGGACGTCTGGAGGCCATCTTCAGCACCTCGGAGCCCTCTTGGAGGCCTCTTGGAAGTTTCTTGGGCCGTCTTGGGCGCTCCTGGGGCCGTCTTGTCTGACCGGGGAGGCCTCCGGCAAGCCCCGACGAGCCTCCGGGCCCCCCGGGGCCCACATTTGCGGTCGAGGTCCCGGCCCCGGGCCCCCGGACCCGGTGCGCCGTTATATGTATATATGCCATCCGGACTAAAGCGTCGGGGTTGGAGGTGCCCGAGGGGAGGGCTGTCCTGCGTCTTCTTGTCGATCTGCGCCTGCCCCGCCTCGATCTCCCGCGGCGGCCCGGTCACCCCGAGAGACAGAGGTGGCCGAGCAGGCAGCCAGGCCCGCCCCCAGGGATTCGCCGCGAGGCCCCAGCCCCCCTCCCGGACTTTAGGCCTCCTCCTCCTCCTCCTCCTCCTCCTCCTCCTCCTCCTGCTCCCCCTCCTTCTCCCACATCCCTCCTCTGCTGCTCCCTCCTTCACCCTCTCATCCCCCATCGGGCGGAATGACGCGGGGCCTCTGAGAGCCAAGGAGCCCGGAGCGCCTCATGCGCACTCGAGCTCTCCAAGAGCCTTCTCCAACGCCCCGGTACGATTCACCTCTGTCCCCAGGTCGCCATGGCCAGGCACAGGAGGTGGTGTGGAGGTGCCTTCTGCGCATCACGGGGACTGGAACGGGGCCTTGCATATCGTGGTTGCTTCACGACCGCGCCTTCTTCTGCGTAGTGGCTATCGTCGCGGCTCGCACGCTGCCGAAAAAATGTCCACGAGGACTCATGTTGTTTCCCGGATTTGGGCATCATTCCGCGAGCGTCTCTTCCAGTGGCCCAGCCAGACTTGCCCTGCCTGGCCTTCTGCGTGCTGCCCGTCGTGCCTCCTCACGACGCCTGACAGTCGACGGCACCGACCTCGAGGTCGGTGTCTCAAGACCGTCTTCACTGTTTGTTCGGCGGCAGCGGGCGTTTTATCCCGTGGGGAGGGCGGCGACGGCCGACGACCTCATCGTTTCGGTGTGGGCAGCTCCACGTATGCCCGCGCGCACCAGTACCCATCGGTCGGAAGCGGGCAGGAACATGAAACAGGAAGGCGTTGAAATAGAGTGGGTGTCCGCCCGCCCCCTTTACAGGACGGAGAAGGGGAAGCCACTCGATCATTGAAGTAGGAAGGCGCTTAAAGTAGATTAGAATCTGGGAATCCAAAAATGTCTGCTTTCAACGACCGATGGGTACTGCTCACCCTTTCGGACCTGCGCAATCGACAAGGTCAAGAGGGGGGATGGGGTCGGGGCAGGCGGGCCAGGGATAACCCAGGTCCTCGCCAGACTCTAGAATCAGTTTTCTTTCAGCAGAGCTCCCATGTCATGCTGCGTGCACCTCGCTGGCATTCCGTCTGGCCCCGTCGAGCCACGGAAAAGACGAAGCGCCAGCGCGGCACTGCAGAGGACTGCACCGGATGTGCTCTCGTCCTCCTGCCCCGACTGCCTCCAGCTGGCCCGCCCCATAAAACACCCTGCGTCACCTCAAGTCGCCATTCCAGAGTCGGGGCGCATGTTGCTTCAACGGGGATGCGCCGGCCCTCCGCTGGCGGAGCTGGCCGCGTTATGCTCAGCCGGCCCGGGCCACTCGGGGGGCCTGCTGAGGCCAGCCGGGGCTATACCTGGGGGGGCTGTCCGTGCGCAACTCGAAGCGTGACCATTTTCGGGCGACCCACTCGGATGGGTGTCGGAAGCGTGCCTGGCTGCTGCACGGCCCCCCCTGCCATCCAGGGTGGCACAGCCAACCGTGGGGCCTCGATCTGCTCCACCTTCGCGGCCTTCAGCTCGTCGTAGGCCTGGGCAGCCCCCCCTCTGAGGGGCAGGGGAACGGCTTTTAGATCGGCGACAGGCTCTCGATAGCAAATCAGCTCGATCTTGAGCGGGGTGGGCTATCAGGCTCGTATGGGCGATCAATGGGAAATTGGGGGTCGATGCTTTCCCCACTGAACATATCCCACCCGAACGTTGCCCCCATAGGCAGCCCCCCCTCACGCCGCCCAACTGTAGAACCCGATGGCGACGACCGCCTGCAACGGGCGACGACGACGGCGACGGCGCCAACGAGCGGGGGGGATCGAGGGTCTCTAGGCCTCCTGGTGGCCTGTATCCTCGCCACCCTCGGCATCCAAAGCGCGGACACATCTCTGGCGAGCTGGAGCAAAAAACAACGCGCTGCCGAAGCTGGATCGCCGTTGTTTTGCACATCCAGGGGGAGGACGTGTCTGTCCAATCGCGCCGCGGGCCAAGTCGAATCCAGGTTCAACGCGTCGGACCCCACACCTGATGAGGGCCGAATCTGCGTCGACCCGCCTCGAGCCGCGTCGCGTGTGCACGAAGCGACCGCGCCATGCAAGACAAAAAATAATCACGGGTGCCCGCAAGCCGTTTCTGGAGCTTCGTGGCCGTGACGCCGCGGCTCAGGATGACGAGGAACGCTCCCATGGAAAAGGGGGCCATGAGGCATCCGACGTCGCGGGCTCGACGCATATACGAAGCTGTCTGGTCGGCTGAAGAGCTCCGTGCACAGACGCCCCAGCTTTCCAACCTTCGGGGGGGTGCTGGAGTGTCCATGCACAGAATTCCTTCGCCCATCGGCTGGGCTCCTCGGCCGACCAGAAGACGCCGTGGTGTATACCTCGAGCTCCGCCGATGCTCTACAACGCGCCTTACCAGCGGCCAGAGATGGGCTGACCCGGGTCGATGCACACGCCGGGTCAGTCAGGCCTTGCAGGATCCTGCGCGCAAGCCCGGGCAAAGGCAACGGCAAAGCTCACATTCACGCGGTCTGGCGATTTCGCAAAGCCGCTCAGGCAGCGGGGGGAGGGAGAAGGGGGGAGGGGGGGAGAGGGAAAGGAAATGAGGGCGCGGGCCCGGCCGCTGCGCGCAAGCCCGGGGCAATGCACCCTTGCCTCTACATGATCCTGCCAGACCCGGCGCTCTGACTGATCCCCTCTGCAGTGACCACCTGTCTCATGAGCCCTAAGTGGTATGGGCCGCCACTTGCCGGGGACCAACTGTTTATCCTGCTTGCCATCGCTCGGACGTGCATTCCCACGGCATTTTCCAGTATCGTGCATGATTGTTCGGTATGGTGCGAAACCATTGACGAATCATGGTTTGGGTTGGCGAGTGGGAATGGGTGGGGCCCACTGACTCGTTCGACCTGGCTACCTTGGCTCCTGCAGTCATCGTGCTATCAGGAGGAACGCTGAGTACGGAAAACGAAGGGACTTTGAGGCCACAGCGAGCCTCGGTCACGAACAGGTTCCCCTATCCAAAATCGAAGGAACGACCAACAAAAACAGAGCCCCGCCTGTGCCCAAGGCGGTTCTTATGTCAGCTTCTTGACTAGCATCCTATTCATTAATCGACGTCTGTGTCTCGCCATGCTGTTGCTTCTGCTGCTGCTGCTCCAGCCTTCCTCTTCCCTGCCCCTTCCTCCGCCGGAGCTCCCTCAGTCCGGCTGCTCCTCGTCGTCCTCGTCCTTCTCGTCCGTATCCCAATCCTTTATCACCTTTTCCCCGCCCTCCCTCCATCATGCCTCACATCGATCTCTCCCTCATCGCTCGGCCCTCCCTCTCTCCCCGTCCTTCTGGTTGGCCATCTCGGTCTTCTGCGACTGCGACAGGTCCTTCTCGAAGGCCTCGAGGGAGGAGGCAGACCGGGAAGGCACGAAGAGTTGGGCAGGGGGTGGTGATCCTCATCTTCCCCGAGGGGAGGAGGAGGGGGAGGAGGAGGAGGAGGAGGAGGAGGAGGAGGAGGAGTCCCCAGAAGGCCCTCGGCGAGGCGCGGGTGCATACGGCACCGCCAAGACCCGAAAGCCTCTGGGAGCCTCCGGAACGACTTCAAGGAGCTGTGAATGAAGGGGGGTCTCTATAGATTGAACCACACACTGGGGAGAAACGACAAACGAACTGATTTTCCTGAATGCTGACGTCGTTTTTTAACGGCGAACAGCACGACATGAAGAAAAATACCCACCTTATCGAACAACGACAATCAAACTCGCATTTCGACGTGAACTACTCCACTCAAACGACGAACAACACATACAACAACCTCTAAATACTATATTTTCGGGATGAACAAATAACTACAACAACTAATAACGCTTCGACGCAAACCTGCGAACTTTAGATAAGTAGAACCCTGAACGGATCCTTCCACAACTCGAAATGAATCGGGACCAACGGGGCCCCGCGCCCATTCCTTTCGAAACGTTCGTGCTTGACCTCTTGGATTCGATTCGGTCTCCGAACTGGGATCACCAGACGAAAAAAAAGAGAGAAGTAAATACTCAAAAATCGCAAATCCAGAGAACCGGTTAAACATCAATTCGTTTTCAATCGAAATAGGAACCGATTGGGCCCCGCGCGCATTCCTTCCAAAATATTGGCATGTTACCTCTTGGATTGTATTGTGTCTCTGAGCCGGGATCGCAAGACGAGAAACATAAGATATACGGAAATCCCCAATCCAAAGAACTGGTCAATAAGCCATTGGTTTTCCAATGGGAATCCGGGCCGATGGGGCCCCATGCGCATTCCTTCTAAAATGTTGGTGTTTTATCTCAGGTCAAGTGGTGGCCGCGACGAACGACGGCATGAACCTGGATGACTTACCCACTAGCGCCGCGCGGCGGACGAACGACGGGGCAAACCTGGCACGACTTACCTATTTGTAGCCGATCAATCCCATAGCGGCCTCCTTCATCTGCTCGAGGATCCCGAAGATCTCCCCTGACTGAGGGGCATACGACTGCTTGAAGGTGGGCTCCGCGTCGAAATAGTCCTGAGATTAAGGAGGACAGAGAGCGAGAAGTAGGAGTGAGACTGATGGAGATGAGGCTGAAGAAGGAGGAAAGAAAGGCGAGATAATGGATACAGGATCGTTCAACATCGAATCGGGAAGTTGGATCGGACTTGCCTTTGCGTCTGATGAGGCAGGCTCGGCTCGGAGCCGACGTCGAATTGGATCGGTCGCGCCAGAATCCGAGTGCTACGTCTGCTGCATCGTGGTGGTCGTGGGTGGGCCTCTGGATGGAAAGGAGTCGGGGGGCGGGGGGGGGGGCTGGCCAGCGTTTCGCCCGAGGACGTGAACCGACGAGTGCAACACCCCCAGGGGTCTCCCCAGTGGGTTGCCCAAGTGCTATGCCTACTGTCTCGTGGTGGTCAGTGGCCTCTGAAAGAGAAGGAGTTTTGGGGGACCAAGCAAGCGTTTCGCGCGAGAGATCCCCGCAATAGAAGCGCGAACGGACAAATGTAACACCCCCTGGCGGCTCCCTCCTGGGTTGCCCGTGCAATTCATGCTACATCGCGATGGTCGTAAGGGAGTGTAACGAGCGAGTATGAATGGGCCTGATTATGGATGGCAGAGCATGAATAAGTCCAAGTGGGAATGAGTCTGAGTAGGAGCGAGTTCGCGTGTGAAGGGCCAGAGTGTGAGCGGCCTGTGTGTATGAGCTTGAATGTGAAAAAGCTGAACACGAGTGGATCTAAGGGTGAGTGGTCTGTTTGGATATGACGGTGTTGTGCAAACACAATGGGGTCTGAGGACGAGCGAAACTAAATGTGAATGAGAAGGGGCACTGTGTCAGTGAGTGCAAGAGGTACAGCGGCGTCGCCCCACTGACAGAGATAGCCCAGACTTATGGCAAGTAGAACAGTTAAATGTTCCAACAACAACGGACAGTCTCAGAACCTGAGACAATAAGACGGCCTCGGCGAAAATGCCTCAGAGAACATGTGAACATGTGGCGTCCTTCATACAATCTGCTGGCAGGCCGGCGGGCAGAACAAGACGCGTCGTCCGTGCTCCATTCTGGGGGACAGAGAGGTACTGATACCGCTGCCGGCACTTGTCCCAAGTGCGCTCCTACTAAGTTCCCGCACCGATTCCAACCGTGGCGACGAGTGCCTGTCAAGAGGCCCAAAAAAGGCGAAAACGAGGCAATGAGGGTAGCTAGAAGCCTCCTGGATGTGGTCCGTGCGAGTGCGATCGGAGGAACGCGCCGCATCGGCGATGCATCGGCCATGCATCGGCCATGCATCGGCGAAGCATCGGCAACGTCGGCGATGCATCACCGCCGTCGGCGTGGCAAACATCGGGTTCCGCATCGAGCCTCATCGGCAATGCATCGGCGATGCGTCGCAAGCCTCCGACCCCATCTGCTCGGACCGCTCCTGAGGCCTCGGGTTCCTTTCCCCATGGCCCGCGTCCTGAGGAGACTGGATGAACGCCGCGGCCACTCGGCGCTCCGAGCGGGTGAGCACTCCCTGCAAGCGGTCACCGTGCCCAGCGAACACCCGCCGCAGCGTGCTAGCCACACCCTCCGCGGCGTGCTGGCCGGGCAGCTGCAGGAACGCGGCGGCGCTGTGGTGCTTCGAGAGCACGGTGACGGCCGACTTCAGCGCAGTGATCGCCTCGAGGAGCTCTTTTTCTTCCGCGTTGAAGTCGGCCAGCTCATGCTCGCGAATCGACGTCGCCTTGTCGAGGGCGGCCTTGCGCGCGTGCTTGCATGAATTACACAGCATATTCATGACAGTGCACGTTTGGGGAATGTACTTCCTTGGTTGCTTATCTTTCCTCCTCCCTTCAAATCCTTTATTTCCTGCCTCTAACTCTTCTACCTCCTATCCCTCAGCCCTCTCCTGCCCTACATCTGGCTCCTCCCCCTCTACCTTTTCTTCCTGCCGTCGCCTTCCCGGGGGCGCGATGTCAGCGCCGTCGGACGGCCTCTTCCGTGGTGATCCTCCAGGATCGCCTGCCCGATGGCGACGGCCCGCCAAAGCAGGCCGGCATCCACCTCCTTCCTGCGTTTCAGGCTGGTCGGCCAGAGCAGGCGCCGCTGCAGCGCATCCTGCGGTCGACCTAAGGGCCTGGTCTCCGCCTCGCAGCGCCAGACCACGCGCTCAAAGTCGGGCGCCTCGTTCGTCCCAGAGCGGGGGCAGTGCTCCTCCACTGCGGCATGCCCGTGCCATCGCCCTGCTTGAATTACGCACACAGCAACTTCATGACGTGCACATATCGGACATGTACTTCCTTTTTTGTTTCTAATTACTTTTCCATTCTAATTCTATGTTTCTTGCCTATACCTCTTCTCCCTCCTATCCCTCCGGCCATTCCTGCCCGACCTCTGGCTTCTCACCTCCTCTACCTCCCGGTCATGCTCTTGCCTTCCCAAGGGCGGCCAGCGCCCTCGCGCGGCCTCCTTCCCTGGCGTTCCTCCAAGATCGCCTGTCTGATGGCGACAGCCAGCCAAAGCAGGCCGGCATCTACCTCCTTTCTGCGTTTCAGGCCAGTCGGCCAGAGGAGGCGCCGCTGCAGCTCATCCTGCGGTCGACCTAAGGGCCTGGCCTCCGCTTCGCAGCGCCAGACCACGCGCTCAAAGTCGGGCGCCTCGCTCTCCCCACGTTGGGGGCAAAGCTCCTCCACTGCGGCACGCCCGTGTCGTCGTCCTTTTCCACTTCCTCCCTCCTCTCTGCCCTTCGCCGCCTGCAGGTGCGCGGGCGGGACACATACCCCGGATATCACGCTGGCCGCGCGCGTGTTGCTCTCTGCCAGAAGCTTCGCGGCCTTGCAGCGCCGTTCTTCGCACTGCTCGGACCGACGCAAATATGAATCGATGCGGTTCTGCCCCCGCCACTTCCCACAAAGGTGCGCGCGCCAGCCCTCCTCGAGCAAACGAGCACGTGCTTGATGCGTCCTTTGCATTCAGACCAATGCTCGCTGCCACTGCGCAGGCTGGCCGTGACCGGGCGCCCCCACGACACTGCGCAGACATTGCGCCCGTGACCGGGCGCCCCCACGCCCACCAGGCGCGTTCCTGCCAGCCGCAGCCCTGCAGGAAGGCATGGATCCAGCCAGAGCACCCTTCCGTCCTCCTCCAGGTTCCCAGCGTGTCCCGTCGCTGGTCCTTACGGAGGGTGCGCCACGCGGCCATGAAGGCAGCGGCCAGCAGGCGGCACCTGACACTGAGCAGGAGGCCGCGAAAAAATGGCCCGGCGCTGGGGGATCCCTGCTCTGGGTTCCTTCGTCGCCCTCACGATCGCCGCCTGTAGCTGCATGTTTCTTGTTTCTTGCATGCGCCTGTCGATCCAGCCGCACTCAGCGACTGCCAGCGCCTCGCTTGCCACCACCGCTCCCCCCATCCTCCTGCAGACGGGCAGGCGCGCACTCTTTTCGAGCATCACCTTGGCACTCCTCATCTTCTCCTTCCTGGCGCACCTCCTTGGCGTCCTGTGCCTTTGCAGAAGCCCGCCCCGAGGATCTCTGGAGTGGCCGTCACCGTGGTGAGCGGCGCGCCTGCTCTGAGCAGCTGCTGCCTGCCCGCGGCCGTCCTGCGCGCGTGCCAAGGCTTCGCCTCTTTCTCTTCAGCGCCGGGCCGGACGTCCACGACCTGTCGTCCACGAGACAGGAAAGCTCCGATCCAGGGAAGCTCGCCACGATGGCGATGATTGGCATGTGTAGGACCGCCACCATAGTTATCATGAACCACGGGTCGCCTTAGGGCAACGACATGCTCACCTCCTCTGGCCGCCGCAGCGTCACCCCTTGGCATTGCAAGTACCGGAGCTGTTCAATCCACACCTGTCCCAGGATAGCGGCAAACCCGCGCGGGCATCCGAGCTTACTTATCACTGAAAATGCCAGCCTGGGATCTGTCTGATCGAAAGCCAATGTGTAGTCGCAGGGTGCAGAGAAGCCTCCATTTGGCACGAGTCAGTGAGGCTGACGAGCGGCATGTACACCTCACCAGTCCATCGTCCACCCACGACCTCCTCCCTCCACCACTTCTTCTGCCAAGCTTCTGCGTCGGGTGGCCGCAGCAGCACGCTGCGGGACAGGCGCCACCAGCAGCTCAAGATGGTGATAGGCCGCAACGCCTGAATGGCGATGCATATGTTCCTCTTTCTCCTTCCCTTGCCGTCCTTCGGTGTGCCTTGTTGTGCCTTGCGCCACTCGGTGGGTGCGCAGTCCTGGTCAAGCATGGAATTGAAGGCGTCTGCCAGGTGTGAGACCACCGCAAGGCAGTAGAACGAAGCGAGCCCATGTCCATGTAAGCCATCGGCCCACGGAGCGGACCCCCGTAGCCGCCCCACGGCGCACCGCAGCCCCATGGACTCCTCCGACGCAGGCGGCAACGTGTCATCGACCAGTCGCTGACATCCCTTCTGATGCGCGAGCTGGCGCCCCCACGCTTTCCCCCGGTGCCGCGTCAGCAGTGCGAGCGTTTCCTGCTCCGTGGCGATGTCCTCCTTAGCCTCGTTTTGCTCGCTCCTGGTCTTCCCTTCCTGCCCCGCGCCATCGGGCTCCGCCTTCTTCTCCGCGCGCGCCCGTCGGTGGAATCGCGCGACCGCCTTCCGCCCAGGCGCAGCATGCCCTGAGCGATCCACGCAAGCGGTCGTGCCATCTGTCGACGCGGCCCTGCCCCCGCTGCTTGCAGAGCTCCTCCAGTTTCGCCTCGACCTCCTTCAACGTCACCAGCCCGTGCTTCGTCATCCCTTCGCGGATCTTGTCCTCGAGTTTTCGTCCTTCTGCGCCGCCATCGCGGCATTTCCTCCGCAACCGCTGCAGGTGCCTCATCCGCCCTCGCAGGTTGTCCAGCTGCTGGACGTGCGCCGACGTGCGCGGGTTGTCACGTTCGCCAAATTGGTGCTCCTGGTACCGAAAGGTCTGCGCATTCCGACGCCCCAACCTCGGGCGCCCCCCGCCTCCTCTCCAGCTTCGCCCATTGCTTTCCTTATCACGCTCCTGAACAAAAGAAATCAACGTAGAGAGACGTGTGTCTCCACACGCCGTCCACCTGCTCCTGCATCGCGGCCGCGTCCCGTGGCTCTGGGAGGCTCGGCGGAACCACTCTCGCACAGACCTCGAGCTGCAGCTGGCCCCATCGCTCCGGTTCCACATGCCCCGGGCAGCCCAAGCTGGCGGCCGACCTACCAAGAGTGCAATCTGGCCCCCGCTTGCCCCTGTCGGCCACCCGCAGCTGGGCAGCAACACCCCGGTGTTATTTGCGCGAGATGTCCTCCAACTCTGGCTGGTCGCAGCGCGTCGCGTGCGAATCTATGTCATAGTCGATGCACCTGCGCCCGCCCCAGCGTGTCGGAGCGCGGCCCCCGTCTATCGCCCACCGCCGCGCGGCGACACGCTGCTTCTTCCCGTTGCAGGTCCCACAATAGATCCCCCCCAAATTCGTCGTTGAAGTCGCCCGCTCTGCACCAGGCGCGCTTACTGCTCAGCGTCTCCAACAGCCCCAACACGAACGACATAGCCTCGTCCCTGGCCTTTCCTGGCGCCTTGTAGATGTTGACCGTGATCGGGCCCCCAACCCTCGCCGCCACAGCTTGCGCGTCCTCGCCCAGAAGGTGGTCCAGTCCACCAGTGGCTCTGACTGGTTGGCGGGGCTTCGCCAACTGGGCCACGGCGATTCCTTCGAAGTAGCTACTGTAGCCAATCTTGCGCGCGCGGGCCTCGAACGCCGCGAAATCCTGGTCTGTCAGCCCCACCTCTTGCAAGAGGACAACATCCACTTTTGCCTGGCTCACCGCCTCCAGCGCCTGCCACGCAGTTTCTCCCAACCCCGAGTTGACCGTCCGGGCCATGGCCCACGGCCGCCCCTTCGTTGACGCACGGCCAGGTTGCGGTTCCACGTGTCCATCCCCCTCAAGGATTCGAAGCCACCCTCTGGCCACCTGCGGGGGGCGCACGGCTGCAGCCATGCCCCCCCTTCACATTCGGGATGTGGGAGCCTTTCGCACCCGCCCCTGCGTGTTCAGTAGCCTCTGCCTCGCCCTCCTCTTCGGTGCCTCCTTTTGCGGTGGCCTCCGCAACCTCATCTCTGCATCCTCCTGCCTTCTCGCAAGTACTCCAACCTCCTCCTTCTTCGTCTGCCTCTTCGCGGGCCCGATCTCCCCCTGTCCCCTCAGCCTCCTACTGCCTCTTCCTGCCTTGCGCTCTTGATCGGGGCCTCATCCTTCCTCCTCGCCCTTCCTCCTCATTCTTCCTCCTCAGCTTCCTCGCTTGACCCCCGGCCTCCTGTGCCTCCTCTGCTTTCTGCTCCAGGTCCTCGTCTGCGTCCTCCTGCCGTCCCGCAGGTACTTCAGCCTCCTCCTTCCTCCTCTGCCTCCTCGCAGGTCCACTGATCTTCGCGTGTCTCCTCAGCCCCCTTTTTACCGATTCCTGCCTCTGTGCTGGTGCTTGGAGCCTCATCCTTTTTCTTCGGCTTCCTCGCCGGCCCCCCGTCCTCCTGCGCCTCCTCTGCCTCGTCCCCCCCCCTCAAGGTCCTCGCCGCGCTTTGCTGGCATCTTGCGTCCTGTAGCCGCCGCCTCCCCCTGGGGTTGCTTGAGTTTCGCGCGCTGCTGCCTGTGCTTCGGTCGCGCTCGCACTCGGCGGGCTCGCATTTGGCTCGCGCGCGTCGGCGCAGACGGGCGCCAGTCGTCCACCGAGAAGTTCGCGAACTCCGCGTCCCAGCCCAGCTTCCTCAGGGCCTCCTCCTTCT